CCCACACACGAGATTACTGTGTGATGGATGTTCTCCCCAGGGTGGGATGGGTGGGTAAAAAAGGGGTTAGGTGTCAATTGGAACAAAAGTTCTGTTCCTTTCTCTTTCCATTCCTGCGGCGAATGAATTAAACTTAAACTTAAACTTAAACTAAATTCAAGAGTTTTCAAGTCCTTGAAAACAAAAAATTAAATTCAAGGACTTTCAAGGAGTGCGGGAACCCTGAGCTGATGACAATAGACCAGCTTTTCAGCTATAACAGCCTAATAGGCTAGGGTACTAATATGGATATGACACCAAATAGTTTCCTTATCTAATAAAGAAGCAAAAGTATGACCGCTAGAAGGGAAGGATACTAAACCTGTTAGGATACTAAACCTTGGTTAGAGCGCCGGATTGTGTTGTGCAGGGGGTAGAGGGTTCAAGCCCCGGCCAGACCGATACTCATGGTCTTAAAATAAGTGAGGAGAATTTGCTACCTTTCCATCAAGAAATGGATAGACATTCTAGTCTTCTCAGAGAAGAACAAATAAACCATAGGCCCCGTCTCCTTAAGGGCTGGGTAGGAGACGTTAATTTCCCCTGCACGAGATTACTGTGTAGTGGATGTCCTCCCCTGGGGTGGGATGGGTGGGAATTGGCCCTGAAAATCCCCCATGGGGAGTGGTCAACTAACCTATGTATGTATGTATGTATGTAAGTCAAAGGGTAAATATTTCACTTACATTCCATACAAGGGAGCCACATGAGCTTAGAACAGAAGAAGGAGGTAATGTGAACAGGGCATTTTCACCAAAAGAACATTTTGGTGTTTGAGATCGACAGCACTGGTGAACCTGAAAAACAAAACCATCATTTTCAAGTTCCTTAAACCTTTTAACTCCCATGAGTCACCAAGATAGAATTTCTCCATAAAATATCAATACAGTAATTACCGAGTAGACAAGTGACGAGGATTAAAAAATATATCTATCAATTACTGGTCAGTGATTTTTAGTTGATTATTTTAGTTGCTATTGATCTGTTATTGTAAATAGTGCTATATAAGAAATAAAGAAATAAAGTTGATCCAATACCAAATTCTCTGAACCAACATCATAAGAATTATATGGCAGACAGCAAGGAGAATCATTAATGTGATTTTGTAATACCCCCACCAACACAGCACACAGTTTCTTCAGAAACATACCCCCCTTTACTGATATACAAAGCATTTATTTAAATGTTAGTGTATCAGCCTACCGTTAAATTACACCAAAGGCATCTATATCCCTGAAGCCGCCTCTTACTGCCACATATTTCATCACAAACTCCACACCTAGCAGAGGGAGGGAGGTTTCCTTCAAGCCACTGATGAGGCACTGAAAGCTGGAATAAAAATCATAGTAAAGATATGTCAGATTTTGGGACCCAAATCAACAACACCCTGTTTTTAATCTTTATATGGGAAAATCACCCAATTTTCAGAAGTACATCAATAAAACAAGAAACCTAATTAAAGCACTGAAAATATTATATGGCAAAAAAAAAAAAACAACAACAACACTTTATTTGCCTGCCAGGAGGCATAAAGAACTGCATGTACAAAAAAATAGCCAAAGATGATAAACTGAAAATGGTAGATTTCCTCATGTACAGCTGTATACACAAAATTAATGCATTACAATTTCAGATAAAATCAAGTTTCAAAACAACAATTATCAAACAGTGGTTCAAGCCTACATGTAGAACTTTACATTGTAAAATATTCATACAGAGATCAATTACAAAATAAGTCATATTTTCTGAGAAAAATTTGATTCTACATGAGTAAGCTTGCTCTTATGTAAAATCCTTTGTTAGGTTGACAATTTGCTTTTACATGCCTTGGTTAGCCTTTCTCAACATTAAATCTAACTTACAGGATCAGATTCATCAAATTCACATTCCTCCCCTCTAAGTGAATGTACTGTTGTCCATTTACAGTTATTTCTTGCTCGTACAGCGCATCTTCTGTGAACTTTGAATCTACAAACTAAGAAATCCCAAAATTAATGAAAATGACTTAATGGCCAATTTCCATTCCAACTTGGAGCTCACTCCTTTACTTTAGGTAAATGATTTGGGAACAAAATGATACTAATCTATATGAATCCCTTAGGGTCAGCAATCAATCATTATCAGGGGTTTCATTAACGTTTTCAGCAGGAGGGCAACTGGTTTCCACAGGCGGGCAAAAATTTTTTAATTGAACTCCTTTATAAGATTTATAAACTTTACTCCAGATCGTCAAACCAGGTGGGAAAAAACTGTCCTAACACCCAGTAAATTTGCCCAGCACAAAGCCCTTAATGAAACTCCTGCATTATTAACTAGTTATTGATTTCTCACTGGCTTGTGAAATACCCGTGACCCTTTCACTCCCAGAAGTGCTTATAGTGTAATTTCTCCTAGTAATATCCATTCATCATCCAGCGGACAGGTGATGAGAACACCCAAACATATAAAACCTCACCCAACACCAATTTCTTGTGGTCAATTTATCAGGAAATTTGTGGCAGCAAGAGGGGAGAATTATCAAATTGATCTGCAAGTTAGGGAGCTAACTCCTTGTACTCTGCAGGTACCATTACCTCCTTGGAGATAAAAATGACAGTGTACCTTATACCTCATATTACACACCTTCGCAAGACAATCCCTTTGATGTGACCCCAGACAATACATCTCGACAAACATTACAGAATGTAGCTTTTGCATGGGAACATGAATACCAATTGTGAGCCCCAGATAATCTGTCCAACAGATCCACCTGCTGAAATAAACAAAATGCAAAAGGTACCTCACAAAAGAATCCAGTTAGACATATTATTTAAAGAAAAAATTTCAACATAGTTAACATCCTGTATAAGGGAAGTAACAAAACTCCTTTCTAAGCAAACTCCAGTTGGCTTGAGTGAGTCAAGCCAATCGAACCTGTATAAAGTGGTCACACATGGAGAATGGCAGGAAAACCACTTTACACACGGGTTGACCACTAAACACAGGTTCCACAGAAGAGAATTATTCTAAATAAATGTAGGTAAACCTCACTTTGCCCATAATTGATCTCTTAAAGCACAAAAACTCACTACAATACACAGGTAACGTTGATTTCAGGAGATAAACGTGAAAATTGAAAAATTATTCTTGGTTTTATTGTCATGATTCTATTTTAAGTGACCATTCAATACATTTGTAAGACAATACAAACAGGCCATTGGGACTCAGCAAAGGGTGACTGCAACCACCTAAAGGAGGTGACTGCTTAAACACGAAGGCACGCTATAAAAAGAGCCTTAGGTCCCAACTGGACCATTTGTCAATCAACCGTCATGTGATGTAGACCTCATTTAGAGTCAAGTCAGCTTGAGCTACAGCTACTCCAAAGCAGTGAACAGCGGGCGCATTCCTCAAAATTGTTTTATGTCTTCATCACAATACAAGAATTTTTGAGATTTGTATTTCCTTTCTCCAATGGAAACTGTCTTTATTTGTGGCGGTAAATTTGAGATCAAAGTAGGTTCGCACGTTACCTCATGCCACCATGCTGGTGGAAGTAAACAATAGATATCTCATTAGCTCCTTTTCTTCATCTACAGCATTCAAATTTGACCCGCACACGTCAACGGTGAGTGACAAATGAGCCTAGGTGTTCCCAGGGAAGACTTCCTTATATAGCGCGCCTTAGTGTTTAATAGAGGCAAAATATACAGTAACCAAGGGGGAAAATATTTTGGAATTTGACAACTGACCGCTTACAGGGTGCCTGCTTATTATAGCGTGGATTCCAAGTTGTATTCAGTAATATTGAATAAGCCGCGAGATAAATCTACAACTTATCCTAGCTAGACCAAACAAGACAGGCAATACTCAAAAAAAAATATGAAGTTATACATAAATGATAAGGCATTGTCATAGACCAAGCCACAGAATAGATAAAAAAGTCAGTTTGTACTCTGTCTGGTGATCTTCATTAAAGGTTTTATTCTATGAGAAGCAAGTTACTGAAATGTGAAACCACAACATTAAAAAATTTATATGTTGGGCGCATTGGATTGAACAAAAAAAATTATATAAAATGATTCAACATCAAGTTTCTATTTCATTAAAAACCAAAATACACTAAACAAAATATCAGTTGAGATCAACTACCAACACAACACTTTTAAAAACATGTATGCAGTCATACACTGACAGCCAGTTAAAGGCTACAAACTAAGAACTCACAGTAGTACGGTACTCTTTAGGAAAACAGGTATAAATGGAATGGTGAGATGAAAGACTAACTGAAAGATGCTTTGTTTATGCATGATTATTCTACAAAATATTCTACAAACATGATTAAGAACTGTGGGTTCAGATGCTACTGTGTCCCTGATCAAAGATTCCTTCAGTATATAGGAGCCTTCTTCAGTGTTAGCTCCTGTTCTTTAAAAAGAATTAGAGGCACTTACAGAAGAAGTGTGAGAGCCAACAGACTTCAAATAGCCTATCCATTCCTCCATTTCCTTTCTGGAATCAGCACTAAGATTAATACTTTGAAAGGGTGTGATGATCTGTAGGAAAATGAAACAGCTGGACATCACGTTTGACATAACATAACAAAACATTGCACCATTGTTACACAATTTTATAACAAATAGCTAAAAAAAAAAAATCTTTCTCAGAATAAGATATATCTAAGTTCACACAGAAACCAGGTGGATAATAAGGCATGTTTTGATGCTACTCTGGTTTAAAGAGTTTAAATTAATAAATGTAACCGAAATTACAATTCATCCACCCAATGTTTTGACACTCCCATCTATTGCCTTCATCAGGGGTGATTTAAAACATGATAATGGCAGCTAGCTCACTACCTGACACCTATTTACACCTCGTCAGAAAAAGGGCAGCTAATTAGTGAGCATATAAAAGGGCCTCTTGTTGCAACAATCAGCTCATCCCTAATGAAGGCACTAGACAGGACTGTTGAAACGTTGGGTCCAGCAATCATAATTTCACTTACATTTATTAAATCTTTAAACCAGAGTAGCATCAAACTATGTCTTTCACAGAGTTTGTGAACAAGTTTGGATTTTAATCTATTTTGGTTCAATAGCAATAACTTTTATTTTCACTTTCTCTGTGCTTAAGTGCATGACTTTTGATTTAAAAAATTAAAACTCAACTATCCAAAAGCAAATTGAAAGTTACTACATGGTTTTTCCTCTATTTTGATCAAGAAGAAAATAACCCATTCACTTGTTAGAATAGTTCTCAATATCACTAACAATTCAGGGCTCAACTCTAGCAGTAGCCAACTAGCCCCAGACCAGTAGAAATTCAGTTTTGGCTAGTGGTTTTCACTTTCCACTAGCCAGTTTGGCTAGTAAACAAACTGAAATTGTTGCAACATCTAAGATGTCACTAGCCAGTTGACGAGTAAGTTGAAAAGTTAGTGTTGAGCCCTGCAAGTAAATGTGTGAATGATTGGATATATATACAAAAATATATCAAATTTAAAAATATCACTTACTTTAAAGCAATTGTTATTGTTTTGAATACTTGATTCAGCTACACTAAAATCTTGTAGATCTATCTCAGTGAATAGTGTTTCCTACAAAAAATGATAATTACAAGTGTTACAGTAAATATCCTCTCTAGTATGGTATCAATATATCATTTATCATTTCAATATTATATAATTTTACCACATCAGGGCAATCAAACATGCAGAATATGCGATGAAATAATGCTGTACAACAAGGCAAATTGAAATACAGGGCAACCAACTTTTAAACACATCAATTTTTCACTATGGTTGGTTTCATTTCTGTTGTTTTCTTCTATCATGCACCCTTCATGTGATCAATAAGATTCGAAGATAGGGTTATAGGATAACATTCCAAAGAAAAGAAACCAAACCACCAGAAAATTGATTAAGAAATCCCTGACTCCCCATAGATCTACTCCACAGAGCTGAACAATTCTACTTACATCACTGGATTTGGCGTAGTATAGCTTTTTCCCCTCTCTCAATTTGAAATATCTCCTTTTCCATCTCTGAAGAAAGAATGTACGAGTGGTATGAGGTCCATACAAAGAAAATATTGTTCTAAAAGTTATCAGTTTCTTCTATGTTTTGTGAAATTTGAATGGAATATAGACTAACATAATTCCTACCAATGACCAACATTAACAAGTGTGACATATTTTTCATCATGGACAACATACTGCTGTATGCAAGAGCTAAGGGATGGGGAATTTCACCAACATCTCCATGTCATATGTGTAGATACCTATATATAGAATGATATACATTCAACGATTGAAGAAATCAAAATATATTGGACCCTAAAAACACAACTCCACCTCTGGATGGCACTAGCACCCAATACAAGTTATATTTCTTGTTTTACACAAAATATTGTTGCAGTATATTAAACGATATTTATTTTGAGTCACGAATCCTACGAGAAATCCCAAGAAATGCACGACTGTATACTTATGATCCTACATTATAAAGGAAAATGGGTGAAAGCATTAATTGTAATAAGGAAATTTGTTCCAGGCTTGGAAGACAGATTTTCTCCTTATTTGCAAAAGGTTGAATGGAAGCATTGTTAATACCAAAAAACTTCTGTCTGATGCCTTTGGATGGCAACTAATTCCTTCATCCTTCTCCTTCTTGGCTCTGAAGGGAAACAGTAATGGCTGCCTCGCAGCTATAACCCTTTTAATGCCATACAGACTAAAAGTCTGTTCTGGTATAGAAAAAGTCAAAAAGGTGAGGATAACCAAGCAAAAAAAGTCCACATAATCTCTTGCAATCATAAATCAAAATAGTTTGTGAAACAAGGAAAATTTTTTACTTGAAACAAGGTAAAAAATTGTAAAAATAATAATTTGCATAACAGAGTAACAAATATTACTCAAACTGAATGGCCTATAAAAAGAAATGCTTCCAAAGGCAACTTGTAAATAAATTATAGTCTTGTATGTGTATACATGCTGTAGTTCAAAATGAATTTTAGACCAAGATTATTTGAAATCACTTGATATGCTTTATCTTTTTGTTTCAGGTTGCAATTCTCACTAAGTTAAATTCAGCTGAACCTAGAATAGTTTTAAACCACAACTTACATAAATTGCAATAAGTCTTTAGTTAGTAAGTACTGAACAGTGCTGGTCAACAGTATATTTATTTCCTTGTATCTTATAAACTTTTTAACAGATCTGGAAAGAACTCAATAATTGCGTAGCAGTCACAGACGAATCCTGAATGCATTTGGACTGAATACAATAATAATGATTCTGCTGAGGTGCGACATGAATGTGTACATTTTACAGAGGGTGTATTCTTCTATTAACAACCACTAAAATAAGAAATCCTTTGAAGTGTTAATATTGTTGCAAAACTGGTAAGTGACACAATAGTAAACACAAAAACTCCTGCAAGGTAGGAAATAAGACTCCCTTGAGACAAAGCACTTCCAATTATAGGACGGGCAACATTTAAGTGAGAACAAGCCAGTGGTTACGTCCCACTAAGGTCTATCAATATGACACAGTTTGCCACAAACAACTAAATATAACAAAATAACATACAGCATAAATTACACACATGCAAACATTTACTAAAAATAAAAAGAGTTAGAAAAAAATGTGTTGTTTTTTTTTCAACACCTGAGCCATGGACCATTACATAATTACTGAGAGGGAACGAGGCACACAAAAAAAAATTGTAGTTACAGAGAAATGAAGAAAAAAATTTCTAGCACAGCAAGTTACCCAGAAAACAAAAACACTGCTCTCTCTCTCTCTCTCTTTCTTTTTTTGTAGCTTTATAATTATATGTCAGTTGTTTGTACTTGTCAATGGCCACCTTGAGGGCATAGCGAGCTACTTAATTTACCCCTGAGCATGTTTTAATAAGGCATTATCTATGCAATTCTTCATTTCTTCAATAAAAGCTCATTCTTGCAAAGAAAATTTGACTAACAATAAAAAATTCATACTGAGTTTGAGAAACTCTTTTGCCTATTGGTCTGGTAAACCTCTTTCTTTGATTTCATTTTAGTTCTGTTAAATTTAGCCTTGCTCTCTTAAAACATATTTGACTTAAAAAAAAAAGCATCTCGATATTTTTTTCTCTAGTTGTATGTTCGGTCAAATGTTTGTTCACTGACTTAGAAAACAATACTTTTGTTCCTCTTACTAACTTGTTTCTTGTTTGATTCTCATTCTCAGTTTAATGAGAGAATATTACACTGTTGTGCAAGCACAGCTTATTGACAAAGTATTCAATTGTATTGCCGGAGAAAGTTTCATTGTGTTTCTGAAATCAACAGCCAAGGATTGAGATTTAAATCTGAATTTGACAAATTGACATAAATAATTAACTAAAGCTGGAGAAAAATGTGAAAGAAAGAGATTGCAATTTTTACCTGTTTGCATACCTTTATAATATGTTTAACTAAAAGACTGGGCATTTTTAACCTTCACTATTCTTATATGTGAGCAAATTAATATTTTACACTCACAAAATAGTTAAATGAACACTGGGAGCAGCCTTCTAAATGTAATATTTAAATTTCTCATTATCTTCCTTTGATATACATGTGCAAACAAAAACAACAACTTAAAATTTCAAGGATAAATTTGCCCTTTTTTATCAAAGCTAGCTAGCATCAGTCTGAAGGGTGGACACAAACTTCATGACAAAAATTCTACTCACCTGAAATGAGCCCGTTTGTTTCTGCAAAAATCCCTCCTTTAAACAACTCTGAAAAAATCGAAAATTTCGTGTTCAGTTCGATTAATACGGGGGGATTTACCAAAATGTAAAGTTCCATTTCAATTAGAAGATATAGCATCAAAATGTCTAAACAGACAGAATTTTTTTAATTGGAACTTTACCGATGCAGAGCTCGCCATTTAAACTCAAAAACGTTCAGTACTAATTGCCATCGGCGAAACTAGGCCAGAAATCCCGATTTTTTTTCAAATCCTGGATTGAATATTAATATTGCGATATGAACAGTTTCATGATTCTTGAGCAAATAAACGAAAACCGTTTGACAGACACGCATCAAAGATTAGACGAGACGAGAGATTGTTTTTCGCCGACTTATTCCCGGTCTAGGTCACAAAAGCAGGATTCTTAAAAAGCTCTTAACACTTTTCCATTCTTTATATTTTCACTCAGCCGTGACGTAAAAACCACAACAAGGGCGACCCATACATAAACTACATTTTTAAAAAGAACTCGAGCTCGCACAGGTGCAATCGTAAATGACAGTTAGCGGCTTGCTAATCAAAATTCTCTCAACCCAGAAATTAAAGACACAATTTGACTAGAAAACAACGGCGGAGAAAAACCGATCCTTTTTAATCTTTAGATCTCTCAACAAAACTGTGTATTGTTGGCTACGATTGGAAATCCTCACCTCCGCAGTCGGCTTTTTCACGATATAAAAGTAACAAATATAAATAAATTAACTATTTCTATCAGTCAAAGTTGATATGGGAGTCATTTTTCAAGCTGAAAAAGTTGTCACTCAAACATGTATTCAGATACACAGAGGAAAAAAAACTTCCGTAGAACTCCTGTCAGAGTTAGACTGCAGTGAAGTCGCTATAACGTTTCCTCGATAGCGATGTGACATCTCCATGCAGCAATGACTCGCCGATGTGAATAAAAACTCTCATGATCTTATGCCACAAGATTTACCTCACCAGAAATGATCTCAAATTATTTTCCCCGAATCTAATTGCCCTATCACACAACAGGACGTTACAAAACAACTTTGACATGTACCAGTAAATATCTACTCCTTAAAGAAAATATGCATGACCAAACGTATGAGTTGACATTATTCTTCATGCAATCGACGACAGTCGAATCCATACTGGCATGTTTTGTAAACAGAACAAAACGCGAAATTAATAAATCTGGCGCTGAAAACCTAAACGAACCGAGTACGTAAATAAAGCACGAGGTATTGGTAGAGATAACGCGGTAGCGGCTTGACCTCATAACGGGAAGAAATGCGTATTTTTAGAGGTTCATTCTTAGAAAACATCTACGGTACATCGATGGCCGCTTACCCTCGCTTTAACAGCAGTCACTGTTGATTTTCTTCGATGATATAATTTAATCGTTTCGGGCCCCGGGTCAGAATCGCTGTCAGATGAATCGACTTCATTTTCGGCCACTCGTGGAGTAAAATCGTAGGACTTTCTCCAAGACATCTTTCATTTGATGCTATTCATGGAAGCGACCATAATGTCCGCCATTATTTTCCTTGACCACGTGATATGAACTCCAGTCGAGAGGCCCGACGGTGAACTCACTTCCGTTGGTAATCCCCCCCTGAAAATTAATTTTTCAAACTTTTATTCAGGGGGTTTGGTACTTGCAAAGCTGGGCCAGGCTGTTCGCAATAGCAACGTCACTGAAGCGTGCAAAAAACTTTAAACAGGAAAAAATTTTAGGGAAGAGCAATTTCACGGGGAAAATAAATGGCATATCTAAGATAGCTTTAAAAAAAATCGACATTTTCTGTGTCAAGATAAGTAAAAATAGTCATTTGGTCACCCATATCACTATAGCGGAATAAAAATTGAGCTTCAGCGAGAATATCAAGTCTTGTATTTAAGTCATGTTTTGACCAAAATTGACTCAGTTATCTACTGCAGTTGATAATATTTCACAAAATATGTTTTTGCCTCCACTAATACATCTCGATGAAAAAAAAAGGCGAAGTTGTTTTGACTCGATAATTTAAGTACATTACAAAGAAAACCCTCTCACAAACTTTGGCAATCTGTCAAGATTAACTTTAAGAAAAGCAAACAAGTTTCCACAGCTTTCGGTAAGCCAACGAAAACATTTCCTCCAGACTGATACAGCAAACCACAAATGCTTGCAGGAAAAGCTGCAGGATAATACCGTTATACTTCAGTAAATTCTCTCTAAGTTCCGCTTTAATTTTGAATTAATTGAGCCGTCGACCTCACTAGTTTACCAAGCTGAAGTCAATAACTACAGCTTTCTATGCAGGTAATCCATGAAAGGAAAAAATCTTAAAACTTACCTCAAGAACAACCAGCCTGATATTTCCTTTGACGTAGCTCTTTCTCACAAAAGATGTATCGCCAGATGCTTTCGGCCTGACAGGATATTAAATGAATAAAAGAACTGTAAGTTTATTTCGGCTACGAGCATAAAATCTCGCTAATGGTACAGATGCGTTTGGAAGTTTGAACCGATTGTGAGCTCCGATTGGTCGTAGTTTAACTAATGAGCCTACAATTAGCTAATTTACTTGTTTTACAAGTCACTGCATTGGTCTCACGGCCAAAATTGCAAATTTGGTCCTTTCAGCATTAGCGATTAGGTATTGCGAACCTCTTTTATGACGTAGTTACTTTTAAGTAAGTCAGTTTTTTGTCGCTCTTTTCGTCCGTTATGATCAAATTTCACAACGGCCAAGTCACGCATATTCATTCATCATCACTTCTTTCTTTGAATGGATTATTTATCAAAACAGCAAACTCGTCACTCGATTTATTTTTGCATAGGTCTTGTTTACAGTTTGGTAACACAAAACTGTTTGACTCATGGTCCAAAGACATCATTGACGTCATCAATACGTCAACCGCCGCGCTTGATTGGAACGATTCCACCTTTTCATGGAAACTGAGGTGGAAAATGTCACAATATGATCTCCATATGCGGACATAATTAAAACGAATGGAGCTAAAATATCCAACAATAACACAAGGGATATAATTTATCGTCCTGCCTATTATTGGCCGTCGATTTTTCCTCTCTTTCGATAACGTTCGACATTTTGCGATTCCTCCTCGGCAGAACTTCGAAGCCTCGCCACAACACAGCTCGAGCTGTGCGCTGTACCTTAAAAAAGCACTTACGCGTAGGAAAATAATAAGTTCAAAAACCGGAACGAAACAAAACCACACACTCGTTCATTGATGGAGTCAAAAGATTAAAGAGAAACCTAGAAGCTACCCAGTTACTCACGATTAAAAAAATTTAAAAACACAGTAGAGAAATGAGTGACCCCATGTGCATAGCTTTTTCTCTTGTTTTGTTTTCCTTTAGGCAATCTGGTCTTCGTGGCGTGCTTTTGATACGAATTGTTTGTACAGGACGAAATGAAGGTGGATGACTCTTACTACATTAAAAGAAATTTAAAAATCGCTTTCAAGGTTGACGGAGCACTTGGGTTTTGACATGTTTGAAAGCCTCGTCATCATGAGTTGAAAAAAAAAACATCTGCGCAACTTTGTAGTTTTCAATAACTTAAAAAACTTCGACGATCGCATGTATTGCACATGGTCCTTTGCGAAGTTTGATACCATGATAAGATTCTGGGGTTACTGGTGATTCCTTTACTTGCGCACTTTCGCCCGATCGGAGTTTCCAATCATGAATGATGTACTCTAGTTGGACGTACTTCGAGGTAAAGGAGAAAATAGCTTTGAGATTAAAAGAAATGGTTGCGTCGATCATGCAATTAAAAGTTGAGTTCTCTCTTTTAGCTTGTTCATGGTCGACCTTTGGAAGCGTTGGATAGGCAAACGCAAGAGATGATTCTCTTGAAAGAATAAGAAAGATCATTCGCTAAGGGTGTACAGCTCCGCAAATGATCATGGGACCGTGTGAGTTGACTTCAAATCCAACTATAAATGATCTCGTCAAAGACCAGCTTGTTAAATAGTTGTGAATTACTGATTTTTCCAAAGATGCTGTGGATTCGTTAATGGAAACTGTTTACTTTTCTGTATGTTTTTAAGACTATGGTTGAGACAGTTTTACAAATTAAACTGAGCCATACATCGCTAAGAATGCTCCTTTTTAAGCGTTTAGTGACTTAGTGTTTGTGTGAGCTGACTGCAATTTCATCCGTCACTTTTACTCGTCGCAAAGCCAGGTTGTGACTAAAAATGTTAAAAACCGCAACGTTTCAACAAATCTTTAGCAGCTGTTGCCGAAGAATGGTGGAAAATTTTGTTTTATCTCACAATTAATAGTGTTCTTTTACAAAACATTTAACCAAAAATTTAAAGGATCCTTAAAGTTATGTCATTCCAAATTTTATTTAACAGGATCATATGCGGTCTTTAAATTGGGTCATTAATTCGCAGTCTTGAATTATTTGACGTTTAATCCAGGGATCATCTGTGGTGCTGGCGGCTGTTCAAATCGCTTATTTGCCTCTGATGAGTTAAGATAAAATTTTGTGAATGACAATAACGAGAATGGCTTGGAAAACTTCTTTCTTCGAACATAAAATGTTACATGTTTCACTTAATACTTTGCGAATATAAACGTATAGGGAGCTTCACTGGTGAGAGAATCAAACTTTGTGTTGTGTATTTGCCGGCTCAGACTGAAGAAAGTTGTATCCTTTCGTACAAGTCATTTCATTTCGATGTTTTCACTGTATGTTCATTATATATATTGAACTTCATATTTACTAGATCAAAGTGAATATTGCATGGCATGTAATCCCCAAGTTTAAAGATTTATAGATGGATAGTACACTGGACTGTTGTGCGTGCGGGAGCTCGAGGGTTCGAGCCCCGGCCGGACCAACACTCAAGGTCTTAAAATAATTGAGAAGTACTCGTTACCTTTCTATAACATCAAGAAATGGTTAGATATTCTAGTCTTCTCGGATAGGGACGAATAAATGGAGGTCCCGTCTCCTGCAGGGTTGAGGGTAGGAGATGTTAATTTCCTACGCACGAGATTACTGTGTGATGGATGTCCTCCAATGGGGTGGAATGGTTGGGAAGTTGAGGGCCATATGTTAGAAAACTTATGTAAGTTAATATGTTACCCTCGTTAAATAAAGATGTATGATGTATGACCTTCGCAAGCACGCCTTTCGTGTCGGTTTATCTCTTTTTCTTGCTTACCAGTGACTTCTCTTTAAATTTTCTTGGGGCCTTCACTTGGCCGATGCGGTACAATCTCAAATGCACTTTAAAAATGTTGTTCCATGAACGGCGTAACAAAGAGGATAATTTTTATAGGACGTCAGTCCAGCATCTGTACTTGGATAGATCATTGGAAACAACCATTTATAATTAGCAAATGGTAAACACCACAGCGTACACTATTGAGTTATGGATGCACGCGGGAGGTTGCTAAGCATGAAAGAAGCGTAAGAGTCGCTCGAGGCGATAGCCGAGAGCGACTCTAGCTTCTTGAGTGCTTAGCAAACCTCCCAAGTCTATCCATAACTCAATAGTGTACGCTGTGGTGTTTACCATTTGTTTTATAACATAACATTGATACATTGTAGCTAAAGAGTTCCCTTTTATTTAACAAATCTTACGTGACCAGAAAATACAAGCGCGCGCGGAAAAATAGTCTTTGCATTTGCTCACGTCAGCAGCGTACACCCATGGGCAAATGGGGGACGCTAAATTGACCAATCAGAGCGCGCGCTTTACTTTGGTTATGTTATAAAGAGTGTGTTTTTCATCAGTTCATTGCATATTGACCTTGATTAAAATAAGCGCGGCAGATGCAACGTTAGACAAACACATGCACGTACGTGGCAGTGACTTAAAATATCACTTAACAGAGCTGTAACTCTGCACGTAAGTAATATGTCAGAAAGAAAAATAGCAAAACTCACCTTGCACATGGGTGCGGCGTTTGGGGGAAAGGGGAAGTTCCCAAGGTGAAAGTGGCTCTCCATTTTTAGTCAAGAAAAGTAGGATATGTATCTCAGCCAAAATACCAGTAAAAAATAAATTAAAGAGGAACAAAGACTCAGTCAAACATTTTTTCTGTAAATGAAGTATAATAGACTGCAAAGCCGAGGTTATCTGCATAGTGGGAAATATTAGTAAGGACGCGAGTTCGGTTTAAAATTAATGAAAAAACTTTAAACGAAAAATAGAGTATACTGCGATGAAGCTCCTCAAAGTTTCTTTCAAAATTTTGTCCCTAATTTGACGCAAAATTCATGATTCTGCGTGTTTGTAGGCGCCACATGCCACATCAATATGGTCATACACGCACCACCGTTAGTTACAAAATCTCCCACACACAAGGTGGGGGCTTCACGCAGCAGTCATCGAGGGACCTTCGTTTCTAAGAACTGTGATCAGGGATCAATAGTCATCTCTGTCTGCCTTGCTTTAGAACCTCCGCCACTTTTGTCACCACGAAGGGCAATCGGAACCGCCGCGAGCCATCACGGTTTTACGTCAGTTTTGCTGATAGTTTCCCTTACTAAAAGAAAACATTTAAAATCATTTTGACTTTTAAAATGCCTCGCGTGGTCATTTATAATGATAATATTTAATACTTATATTGCACTTTTTCTATAAAAATACTCAAAAGCGCATTACAATATTGATTATCAAACCCGGTAAAATTACAATATTTACAGTATAAAAATTTCCAGAGTAATTAGTAAAACAGAGAATTTTTTTTAAAAAAATCACAATCTTAAATTAAATGAATAAATAATCTAACTAAAAGCCTTTTAAATAAATATGTTTTAACAGAGCGTTTGAAAGAGTTTATTGATGTTTCCCGTCTCATTGGCAGAGGAAGACATGTTCCATAAGGAGAGGGCAGCTATTGAAAACGCGCGGTCTCCCATAGGCTTCTTCGTTCTTAGTCGAGGTCTTTCTAACAATATTTCATTTCACGCGGCCTTTGTAAGCAGATGAGTGAAGTTTCTGAAGAAACAGTGGTGTTGTGTCGGTGGGAGGGGGGGGTGGTATCGCAAGATAATTTGGTTTTATCAACTGAGTCGATAAAGTAACTTGGCTACCGTGAAGAGTTTCTAAAGAGTTAGCCCTAAGATATTCAAAGGGCGCCTGGTTGCTCTCGTACCCAACAACGGTCAGTAACATTTTCGGTCAGTTAAACTAAGACTACCGATCAGTCAAGTGGCCCATCCGGCCGGCGCTTAACTCCTGTTTCCGTGGCATGAAGCGTCTAGAGGTATCTCTACTCCCCCCTGGATGGGATGCTTGTCCATCGCAGGGTTACCCCCCAGCATTGAACTTGCCGGTACCCATTGAAACACCTGGGTGAAGAGAGGCACTGTGAGAGTAAAGTGTCTTGCCTAAGAACACAATAGCTCAATTGGTTAGCTCAATTAGTTAGAGCGCCGGATTGTGTTGTGCGGGAGGCCGAGAGTTCGAGTCCCGGCTGGACCGATACTCATGGTCTTAAAATAAGTGAGGAGAATTTGCTACCTTTCCATCAAGAAATGGATAGACATTCTAGTCTTCTCAGAGAAGAACAAATAGGATACACACTATGATAACGATAATTCACTCTAATCATCAAAAATATTTAATAATAATAAAATATACTAAATAGTATATAATAATATAAATAGTATATAATAATAATAATAATAATAATAATAATAATAATAATAATAAGAGAGGGAGAGAAGGCCTTCGTCAGTTGCAGAAAGCTGTCCTCAGCGCCAGTGTGAACATTGCCAGAACCTTTAAGGTTCTTAGTTAGCTTAGAACTCTCGCACATGCCTGCCAGCGAGCTACTTAAGGACTCATATAGGTTCTTATGATGCATTTTTATTTAGATTATTGATTTTATGTGACTTTTTCCTTCTATAGTAGATTAGCAATTTCATGTAATTTTAGTTTGTAAATGAGACTTAGGCTAGCCACGGTCAACACCTGGCCTGAGTGAGTAGGATCGGCATCCAGATGTGTATATACTGCCAATAATAATAATAACTTAATTTACTGAGGGCAACTACACTTAAGCATTGGTAAATGTAGCCCTCCCAATATAAACGTTTTGAGATAACCAAATCATAATCTAAATTTAGTTTTTTTAGTTTTTTTTTTTTTTTTCCGGTTATCCTGGAAAATGCATATTTGCTAATGATTCTTAGACTTAAGATTCCAATCTCGTTCCCATGGCCTTTTCCCTGGGGGTGGTGGGAAAAGGCCATGCCATGGGAACGAGTTTGTTAAGACCCTCAACATTTGTCCAGCTAAAGCGTCAATTTTTTTTAGTGATCCTTCTTTTCCAGTTTTTCAGTAACTCTTGTACATGTTCTTGAGTACACTAATTGCCACTTTCTTTGGTATCTTTGCTTGCTTAGGTCCCGAGTATTGATTATTAGCCAATTGAATCAATCTAGAATCATTTTTTGTCTCGTATTACGTTTAGTTATTGATTAATTAACCCTTAACCCCCAAGATGACTGTAGAGGCGCGGTGGCCTCATGGTTGGTACGCTCGACTCCGGATCGAGCGGTCCGGGTTCGAGCCCCGGCCGGGGACTTTGTGTTGTGTTCTTAGGCAAGACACTTTACTCTCACAGTGCCTCTCTTCACCCAGGTGTTTAAGTGGATATGTGSGTACCGGCAAATTTAATGCTGGGGGTAACCCTGCGATGGACCAGCATCCCATCCAGGGGGGAGTGGAAATACTCGCAATCGCTTTATGCTACAGAAACCGGAGTTAAGCGCCAGCCTGATGGGCCACTTGGCTCGTAAACAGACTTAACCTTTTTACCCCAAGATCACGTTAGTAATTCTCCTTACTGACTACCATACAATTCTCATCGTGTTAGTTGGGGGAACTAGCCATTGGATCAACTGATAATCCCCTAATTTATATTTTTCTTTATTCCCATCACTTTTAACTTGATATTGTATCGATATTTTCAGGAGAAATTCCCTCTTGGTCACTCAGGAGAGTAAAAATTAACGGTTTAATTTAGTTTTAGTGACCCTGGTAACAGCTCTGAAATTGTAACAATTTTTTTCGGTTTATGCGCACCACTTCTTTGGTGTTCATTTCCTATTTACATGCAATATTGAATAATATTTTTTTCAAATGCGTACTTATACTTTAATTGAATTTATTATTCGCCGACAGGCAGGGACACCGCAACAGCTTGCGCCAGTTACTTCGGGCCCAGTAAACCTACCCTTTTTCAAGCCTGTTCAAAAGCAAAGCTCTGTTATGCTAATGTCATGTTTTCTCATTGTCTTAGGCAGTGTTTATTTAAAGGAAGTTGCTCCGTAAAACATCAAATCTTTCTATATACTTCTTGGCCTGGTTCGGACTCTTGGAGAGTAGAGGCCAGAGAAAAAGTGAGCGGGCGATTTTAGTCATCTCCGCGCAACCCTCCCTCCACCCCTACTCTTAAACAAAAATTAAAAAAAAAAATTAAGAAAAAAAAAACCGGCGAGAGGTGCGCATGGGGGAAGATGGGCATTTCCACCGTAACGGTTTCCAGATTCAAAGCCATGTCCTCACTAAGATATAAGAGCTATTCCGCTAACTAAGATTAGCTGCAGTCAGAAAAACTGTTCAAACCCGAAGGCCCTTCCATTTCTCTCTGACTCAAATCCAGCGCCATCGAGAAGAAATAAAGCCACCAAGATAGTAGAAGTGGTAAAGCAATGCATGACGCGACCGTCAGCTATGCTTATCATGTTCGTCACCAGACTCTCCGCCTCTCATAATTTCCCTCCGGTTAAACACGTGTCCACATTTCTCTAAAACATCACCAACAAAGACTTTAACAAAACAGAGAAAAATCAGAGTGAATTTTATTCAAATTATAAAAAAAAAAAACCCTCTGGTTTTGCGATTAGGGGGCCTGTGATAGGAGAATAAGAATTTTAACCTGCATGCGGATGGGAGAACCCGTCCCGTTAGTCGTCCGGTTCCAGTCCATTCTCGGCTTTGAAACCGGACTGAAGTTTCCAGTGTGAACGATAGAAAGAACATTTCAATGTACTCTTAAGAGAAGTCCATAAGTGGCAAAATTTAATGCCAGACTTAGTGAGAATTGCTCCGTTTGCTCATCTCTAGTCTAAAACACGATCTAATATCTGCGCATGTGCAGACGTTGTGATAGCTCGGGGTGTACTTTTAGGCTGTAAGAATCAAGTTGAACCCCAGGTGTTACGACTGACCACTCAAGTCTGCAAGTCACGGTGTTTTAAGGCGGACAACTGTTTAGGTAAAGCTCAAAACAATACGGTGAAACAACTAGATTTGTGCAAGAAAAATTATCAAGCTTCCATTCTCCCTACCTTTGTACCCTTTTAAAAATATTTCTGCAAACGCTTCAATTAATACGCATCTATTTTCAGATCCCTGTTGTTTCGTGAGTTTCCCTTGGAATTATGCGTGAATTGTGGCACGGGGATAGCCAAAGATCCACTAGCGCAAGCTCGACGTCTGACCGCGTTGATTGTCTTCGGTTCGATCCTCGCAAAAACACGAGCGCGGGCTCATTTTTAAGCAGAGCGACTGGTAGTGCTCCGGCTCTACTTGCTCTGAACTAAACTTGGCGAGACAAAGCTGCATTGATATTCTGTTAACAAAAGAAATCTTTACCTTGTGGCCCGTTGAATTACATTTTAATTCTAATTTAATAGTATGCGTTGAAAGTGCGCCTCCTCTTGGAGGTTTTTCGAAGTGAGAGTTGCTTAACCTGAACTCGTCTTGGGCTAATCACGGGTGAGAGTCTGGGACTAGTCCTGCTCTAGCTTATGCATCTCGAAAAATTTGTCGGGTACTACGGTCAAGATTCAGACTTTTTTTGTTCACTAAAAGATTGACACGATAAACTCAGTAAATTTAAGACACCTTTAATACGACCCTTGATAACAAGCAAGACCACAGTGAAAAAATTATCAGGAACATTATAAAAAAATTGCATCAGTAACATACTAAGGGTTTGTGATTTTTCAATTGAAAAGACTAAGTTTAAATGACACTTAGTATAATATGGCACTAGGATGCATCAACAAATTTTATGGGACAGAAAACTGTCATCAGTTATACCAGCATTCACACAAGTAACTACCTAATGTAATCTTCAATCTGCACTGATCTTAGAATGTACGACTACCTCCCAATGCTTCCACTGCCATCAAAACAGATTTCCCACATTGAAGACCAGTTTCAAATACTAAGCTTACTATGCTATCCTTCAGCAAACAACGATTCCTTCACTGTGGCTGTCTAAAACATCACGAGGTTTGATGTATCAGGAAAGGTGCTGAAGGTGACATCTAATCATCTCAACTTCACAAGTACATGCATAATAAAAGAAACTGATCGACAATCTCTCTGTGTACTTGATTGCTATGGTCTCAATAAGCCCTGCATATGGTCAAATAACTCCCCATGATGTTGATAACAGAATTTATGGCAATGCCTATTATATAGAAGCTAATAAACATTGATAAAGTGTGCTTGAATAAAAAAAAAAAAAATCCTATAGAAAGGGTGATTTTCTAAGTCATGACCAGAAGTCATGTATTTAACAAAAGGTAGTGTGCCTAAAACTGTCCAAGGTCAATCAAAATGCATGCTTTTTAACAAAAAAAAGCTACACAAAGGAAACTGAACCTTCTGAATGTTGAATTGTCTTCTACAGATAACCGCACAGATGTGACTATAGTAATCATCATCATTAATGCAAGAAAGTCCTCAAGAGGGTTTCGATTATTGGCAAGAGACTAAGCTAACTTAACACTAATCAACTAATCAAGTATAGATGCACACATAGTGCATCATACATATGTCTCAAACTGTGCAAGACAGAACTACTTTAAATATCAAAAAGTTAATAAAACATGAATAATTTTCATCACAAATATATTTCATCCAATTAAAAATGACCAAATGTGTAGCTGCTTAGACTAAAACATTACCGATCTTAAACAAATGCAAAAATTTAACACCAAGTTGAATTTAATGAAATTACTGTGAGGCCATTAACCTAATAGAATAGTATATAGCTACTGCTTGTTAGTAAACTGTAAGGCCAACAAAAGAAATTGAAAACACAATAAATGCTGCCCACCTCAAACATAAAAAGAGTTTGTCTTAGTTTGACAATAAAAGAATTTCTTTCCATAATTTTACCTAATCAATGATGCTGCAGTTTTATTAAAAGTGTTGCCTTGGAAGTTAAATGTGACTCAGATTTAGAAAACTCATCATTAAGAAGCCTGAGGTGCATTCTGTTGCAAACAGAAACCAAACTGTCCAGCCCACTTCTGTTTGAAGTTTTCAATGACTACAATTTAAATATCTTAGTTCAAAAGTTTGGAGTAACTTAAAAAAAATTCAGTTCGAGAGAACTAGGTTAAGGAATATGGTAACTAAAGCAATTCAAACTTAGGTAATGGCAAAATTCAAGGTATATACGAGGCATTACCTAGTGTGGCAATAAAGAAAAAAAACACCTGTCACTAAATTGTTGAGCGCAATCAGATTCTGCACCTCACAATTTACCTCTGCTTCACTATTTCTGCTTAATTTCAATACGGACCCTTCCTGTAGCACCTCGGTTAAGACGGTATGTCTCAGATCGCTCAATATTTTCGGCAATGGCTTCACAACGAATCACTGCTGGGCTAGTGGTGTTGACTTTAATGGCAGCAATTGGGGGAAGCCAATTTTCTTCAGAGAGATAAGGGTAAAAACTTGTAGCAAAGCCAGGCTTGTCTGATGGGTAGATTTCCAGCTGATTCTACCAAATGAACAGAATGAGTGAATGTGTGTTCGCTCAACTTTCTTTAACTTTGGCCACAAAAACGAAGTAAACAGAGCATTTCAGCTTGGGACACCTAAATGCAGGTCACTAAAAAGGTGACTTTTTCTTAAAACTTAGTGTCCATGCTTTTTACTGCTTGCTACAGCCACCAGTGCAGTTTGTAACCTTCTAAATAGCTATAGTTGATATAACTGAAAATGTCTGATTTACTCTTATTAATAAATGTATAAAGTTTGATTTACCGGAGAGCCACCTTCATGAAATATGCAGGACAATTCCACATAATCCTTGCCAGATTTAGGTTCAGGGACCCACTTGTACACCTGGAGAACACAATATCTTCAGTTCACAATTTATAAAGGAGTCCAATTTGCTCTGTGATTATATGATTAATAAAATTGGAAGACTGTGATGCAGGAGTTTGACTTGTCAACCACAAGTATGACTACAGAAAACTGGATGACACAAAGTTTTGATCTTGTCTTTGATAGACAGATAGCTTCTTTTACAACAGAGGTCAATCCTATAATCTCCATTAATCTTTAGAGACATCTCCCCTACTTTAGGGAAAACAAAAATATTATAAAATCTTCCTTCTTTAACTTGCAGAAGTGATTAACATGTAATTTCTTCCTATATTATCCATATATCAACCAGCAGACAGGTAATGAGAACATCCAAACCTATCATGTAGAAGTTATCTTCCTTTAACGCCAAATTCTTGTAACTAATTTACAAGGAAATGTAAAGCAGCCAGAGGGGAGAATTGATGATCAAATCTTGGTAGTTGGAGGGTTAATGTTACCTCACAGGTTGTATGTGCCCCAACATTGTGAAAGTGGAGCAGTGCAAAGAAAATAGAAAACATAAGAGCAGCAAACCAGATTTTATCGTCATTTATTTGAAATAATTTCGCTATCATGCCAGAGATTCCAATTCTTATTTTAGAGGATTCTAGATCACAAGACCCTGCTCATGGAATGTTTGTTCAAGTGATTTAACCCTCACTGGCATTCATGAAAATATCATGCTAAAATAGTGAGGAAAACTTATCTTTAATTTTACATGAATATGCACGAACAAGTTTGAAACTTATACTGCATCCAACTCTGTAAAATCATGTCAAAAGGAGTAAAACAGTTTCAACCAACCCTATTAATCTTCATAAAGATGCACGGCTTTTCTTCGTCATAGCCATATTCAAAATCAGTCTCATTGCTATAGCAGGGACCAAGAGAAGAAAGGTCCATGGCACAGGGCTTAGAACCCTTTTCACGTTCACTCTCAGTACAGTTCTGGTTGTAATCATCACTTTCAAGAGCATCCTTGTAAGCTTGAAACAAAAAATGATACATGAGTACTTATAATATACAGTTTTTAATGCTATTTATAATTTTCTTTTACATTACATAAATTCCTGGAAAAGCTAAAAAGAAAGAGCCCAATCTCCTATATCATAATCATCATGCTACACCAAGTCATTTATCTTATGTGTGCACGATCTTTCGCAGTAAAGCACTATTTGAGCAATAGTGCTTTACTGCGAAGGATCGTGCACATATACGTTTCATAACCGCAGTTCATACATATGTTTCATTTGTTTGTTGTTGTTCAAGTCATTTATGTTTGCAATTAGTCCATGCAATACTTTTATGGTGCAATACGTGGATATGCTTGTGCTCCAACCAAAACGATTTTATAGATTGAAGCCCACCACACATTTTAAGTTTCAGTTTTACTCCAGACCTCATGTGTTTCTTTTGGTCATTTGAGACCTAAGCCTAAGTCCCACTGGCAGGGGTATGAATAGTTTCCCTGGAAGAGGTTAAAGTGTTAAAGTATATTATCATCCACACAATAGTGGCATACCTGACAAGAGCAATAACCCATGATCTATGCCTTAACCCATACAGATTATCACAACATTCCACTCAGTTAAAAATGAAAAAACCCAAACATTCTAAAGCCTAACTTCCTAACTTTCAGTTTTAATTCAAAGACAGTGCAGCGGTGACTAGAATTCAAATGCCTGATGTTATTAAACTAATACAGATTTTGTGATCAACATCAATATTTATTTCAAGCCTCCACTTTTGTTTTTTAATAGCTTAAAAAGTGCTTAATCCTAGAACTACAAATATGCTGATATATACTGGAGTTGTTTCAGTTCTTAACTGTCTTTTCTTCACATCTCCAACACTGTCTATCATGTTAGATACCTAATTCTCCTCTCTCTCCCCTTCAAATCTCTTTTGGCCCTACTGCAATTCTTGCAATGTTACAAAAACAGGCAAGTTCAGTTTATCAAGGCATTCAGCTGTGAAAGATTTTAAGTGAAGGACAAAATTCATAGTAACTTACGTTGCAAAAGTTTGTTGATTTTGTCCACATATGATTCCTTTTCATTACCATAGTCCTTTATTTCATAGAATGGGACAGGTACAAGGCCTGACAAAGAGACAAAAATAACAAAAGAATAAATGATAATGAAATGTTTTGAACTTGGTAGAGCATCAGTGTTAGTGTCAGTATTACATAAGAACTTTATGGTCAAGTGCACACATTGACAATTTTTTTCCCTGGGGATTGGAAATCTAGTCAAATATTTCAACTATTATATTTGAAAGTTAGCAACATTTGATAAAGTATTTATTTAAACACACCTAACACAGATTTATGTTGCTTAATGCGTTGGAATTTCACTTTAGCTTTCAACGATAGAGGCTGAGGTATAACAAATCATGCACAAAAACAATATGATTGAACATGTATTTAACCAGTACTGAAATCCATTCGAATATCAAACAAACTTGCTGGATAATATTGGTGCATGTGGGCAATATAAAGGGGACCTTTAAAATTGTTGTATTAAACGCACGACTCGGTAAATCACGACATCGCCAACACTTTGAATTTGGAATCTCTCATGTAATTCAAGTCTGAATTTATCTTTAACAAAATAACGATTACAACCTTGAAACTTCACACCGAACATCTGCTGAACGTAACGCAAATTTTAGGAGACCCGCCCTTAAAGATGCTTTCATACTAACAAACAAACGAATCGAACAACATAGACCCAAAGTAAAAACGAAGGAATTCTCAGAGCGGCTGATATACTTTCATGTGGCCGCTCTTTCATCTTTAATGCAACCATGGGAAAGCTTTCATTTAACACAAATGCAAATATTCTCCATTTAGCTCGGTAAATCAACGAGCCCGAAATACACCCGTACATGTCTCTGTGTCGAAACGTACGACGTCTCATATTTCAAAATTGGACTTCTAAGTAAGTCGAAAATTCGTTGTAAAAGAAAAGTTATTTTGTGAGAACAACAATTAAAGAAATCTTTTCATATCGGAACAAATCTTTACAACTGACACTCGCAATAATTTTTTTCATTTGAATTGCAAATGTCCATGAAACCACATACATGCTACAGGCGGTCTGCGCACATTCAAATTAGTTTTCCTGTTTTAACCTTCAAATTGAAGAATGGCTGCCAGTATATGTTTGCTAAGGCTTAACATATCTCAGATAACAAAACATAAAAAAGAGAAAGAAACCTTGTTTTCCCGCTAAATATCTCGTCATTTTCGGCCCTTCCTCTCGAGGTGGTACCGTAGTCATGAATATGGCTAACATTGAGGCGAAAAATCCTGCTAAGCAGCCATAAAATATCAAGAAGAACACCGTGATCTTCGCTGAAATAAGGAAAGGAAAAAACCGATGTCAGTTTACAGGTACATGGAACAGTTCGTGAACTAAATCAATCGACAAGTTGCCTCACAGCTAACGTATAACAATACACCGGTTCTGCTTCAACTAAACTCTACGCTAGATTTAATCAACTAACCCCAGCTCTTGCCATTTCTGCCCATGACCTGCACTTCACCATTTTCGCCATCTTTATTGTAAAGGAAGTGCCCAAAATCGCGTGCAGTTTGTTGAAAACGTTCAAGCCTTGTCTTTCCTTCTTGTCCCTGCTTAGCGTACGCCATCTTACTAGCCTTACCACGCGAAACGACGACAACTACCACGTGATCTCTCTTTTTGAATACCCAATTTATATTTGGGGGAAGGGAGACTGGGGCTATTGGCTTGAATCTGTACTTTGTACACCGTGAGGTTGCTGTATTGTCCCTGCGTTTTAGGCCAGTAATGGCCCTTTAGACAATTGTCCGCCGTTTATATGGTAACGAGCCAGTAATCTTGCCAAGTCGAAATGTTATGCTCACGCGAATTGAATTAATTTTCCTCAGACCAGCTCCAATTTCTATGAGGCAGTCACGAGTGATAATTCCTAAAACTAGGCCCAGTATAAAAATGCAGTTTTTTACTTGTCGAGAAAGTCATAATGATACCGGTGAATGTCAAATTCCTAGTTTCCTTTTATTGCAATAGCGAAGCCTTTATTGTATATCTCACTATAAGTAGATTACAAGTGGCTTGTCGCCTCTGAAAATGTAGTGTACTTTGTCATCGACGTGTAGTGTCACGTGCACAGCAGAGAATGTAGCTAATATTTTGAACTAAGCCACGTCATTTAAAAGTTCGATTCTTTTCACAGACTGTGATATTTGTTTCATTCTTCCAGTGAGTAAGATTTTTCGACATCAATACGCAAAAATATCGTGCAATCTGGCCTTACTCGGTGTTCTTATTCTATGTTCTGGCACGTTTTCTCGGTATAACTTAGTCCTTATATGATTCTTACAGTTCTTTTCACGATGTACTCGAACAGGAAGAATTTAACGAAAAGGATAGATTTTACCTTAAGTTATAGCTCATGATGATTCGATGCGAGAGTCTCCTGATGCTTCTGTATCGACCGCTTGACTTTGTAGTGCAATATATCACGCTTGGTCGCTCTCTATCGCGTCACTGAAGTCTCGATCATTTTTACCAGAGCCATAAATTGATTTTCTTTCGGCAAAGTCAATGCGTCACCTAGTTTAATCTAATTCTGTGACTCCCAAAAATTCTGAGTAACTCGTTTTAAGTCCAGTTTTAAAACGACCAGTTGATGCACGAAATAACTTACAGCTCACCTTACGGTGAAGTGACTCTTCTTTTGTTAAGATATGGGCATCTTGATTTACTCTATCCCATAAATAACCACTGCATGCGACTGATATCAATAAAACTCCAACTGCGTCATGAATTATATGCTGCACTCTTTCAGGGATGATATTGATAAAGCAATAGTGCTCATTTTTATTGACATCCCTCATACTTATTTGTTCTTTCCAATTAATGTTTCCGTGAGTAACCAATATAGATTTATATACTTATCTGAAATAAACTACAGTCTTTTATTTTTATCTAGTTAAATCAAATATAAAATAAACTGTGAAAATATATAGATAATCAGATAGAATGAGTGTGGCATCGATCGGTGGAGATAACTCATATCAAAATTGTAATTTCAGTGCCGAACTAAAAAAGTCAATTATTGTTTTGAAGAAATTCAGGGTGCCTTGCAAATATGATTCTCTACCTGGTGTTGTAAAGTTTTCGATATTGTGATAGGGGATGGCGGTGAAAAAGAATTAGGAGATCAAACCAATAAAAGGTTTTCACACATGAAGAGGTATTCTTTAAATCCGCTCTACCTCGCATACCGCAAACTGACTCTTGAAACTGTTACGGACAATCATGATTTTCGTAAGCGAGTTGGCAAAGCTGATTACGCCATCATTTATATTGCACAAATTAACATAGTTCTTAAATCTTAGTGACTATGGACTCTTACTAGAGTTTTATTTTCAGATCATAGGCAAACGAATGGTCACGAATGTTTTCTCTAATAACTTTGAAATGTTTCATTTTAGCTCAATTTTCTTTTCTTTTCTTAGTTACTTTATTTTTAAAAATAGAAGCCCATTTACATCAGTATAATAGAATTGACTTAATCGCTTTATCAATTAATGAACTTCGTTTAATATCGCCAATTAAATATCGCTGTTGAAATGGCGCCAACATTTCTCTGTCTGTACCCTTTTCAAGCGACAAGGCCTATTTGAAAGTCGCAATCCTTTCACTTAACAGTGCTGCTGGCCCGGCCACGCATTGCGTGTTTTCGGGTATTGATCAAAATCATTTCTTCCAAGTTTTAGTCGAAGTAGAATCTTATCTATTTTTTCATTTATCTATTTAATTATTTATTTATTTATTTTTACTGTGTCTGTCCTATCACACAATTAGCTAGATTTCAAAGGAACGAATATTTGTCCAGAAGTTAGGATGCTGAACCCATGTTCTGCTGTCGTTATCCTTGTCCAGCGGAACGGGCGCGGGCGATTGTCATGGGAACGACAACTTTGAGAATGATGCCTAGAACTTCCGTTACCATGGTTCAGGGGGACGTTCTTCGAACCAATCACTAGAAAAATCGGAATATTAACAAGGAACCCGAACAGATCTTAAAGCGGTCGTGTCCTTAAGATGAGAAGTGTATACCAGGGAAGTACTGAACGTATAGCAGTCGAAAGGAGAATGTTCTAACCAAGGAATATGAAATTCAGAAATGAGTATAGGGAATATCTATCATTAAGCGGTTGGACTGGGACAGACAGAATCGGAGAGCCTTCTTGATCTTTGTAACCTTACGTGTGTAGCCAGAGCTGAAATATGAAGTGTTACTTCAGTGGGTTGCGGTCAACAACGCGGGCTCAAGTGTCCTGGGTCTAAAATTTAGCGAAATTAGCGGAAAATAATAAGGGCTGACTTTTAAAACCGAGGAACTCTGTTTTCGTCGAAGGCATTTTCCTATTTCCAGAGGTTTTAAGGAGAAAATTAATTTTTGAAAATTTTTGGAGTTTGTTCTGTAAAAGAAAAGCGGTGAGTAAAACGAAACCTAGAAGCAACAGAATAGGAAATCATTCATGCAAACGACTCAAAATCCGTGTTTCCGCGGCAAACTCTTTAACAATTATTCCACAAGCGCGCGTTGGATATGAGATGATAGATAGCCAACTCGGCGCTACGCGCCTCGTTGGCTATAATCATCTCATATCCAACAAGCGCGAGTGGAATAATTGTTTTATTAAAAAAAAAGGCCCCAAGATATTAGGCAAATCTTCTCGACTTTANCTTGTTGGATATGAGATGATTATAGCCAACGAGGCGCGTAGCGCCGAGTTGGCTATAATCATCTCATATCCAACAAGCGCGAGTGGAATAATTGTTTTATTAAAAAAAAAGGCCCCCAAGATATTAGGCAAATCTTCTCGACTTTATTTTGTAGGAGGAAACCGGATGTTACAATGTAAAGATATCAGATTATGGTATATTGGCTCATATACCATAATGGCTAAGCCAATAAAAAGTCTTGAATTGCATTATCCAGTGATCCAGTTTTTACTAAAGCGCTTTATTCAGCTCTGTCACGCGTGTATACGAGGACGGAATCTTTTGCAGAGCATTATATTAATGAACTGAATTTAAAAAAAAGCGGGGGGGATTGAACTAAATTGGAAAAGAAGGAGGAAAAGCCCCAGTACAGATGTTGTAGCCAGTTCATTTTCTATGGCTTGAGAAGATTTAGGCCTCTCAGGATTTTGCGAAAGTGACGCGCGCGGACTTTTGAGTTAGGAGAAAACACAACTTAATCAAACTTCCAGTGACTTATTCTCGCAAAGCACTCGTACTTGATCTAACGATTTCTCACTATAATTTTCCATCTGGTGACGATCAAGGAAACTTTGTGCTCTCATTTGGTGATTTCTGCTGCAGATTATAATTAATTTCTCTTATAATTGGAGCTGTTTCGTACCAAGAGTTCGCTCATCCTGATAAAGATTGATTTTCTTGCCACCTTTGAGAGACCCCATTGTCAAGCGCACGCTTATTGCAGCTGCTGTACGACAAAAGCTGCACGGAAAACTACGCTTTTTAATTTATCCGCCATAGCGATAGATTTGTTCGTTTTAGCGCAGAGTCTTCATTATTCACTCGTTCAATTTGAAGGCGATCTAGTGGAGAAATCCAGCAAAGTCTCAATCCGAATCTGTTAGAGGCTGATTAGATCTTTGAGCAAAAATTTTAATGGTAAGTGAATTATTGACTTTGATCAAACTGTTGAATGCATGCGTCCAGTCAAGGTTTACAAAGCATGAAATTCATCCCCCTTTCTTTTGTACCCATCATGAAATTAAGCCATTATTGAATACTTTCATATAAGATCACGAGTAAGGTAATCAATTTCCAGGCTGTTTTGTTTTCACAATTGACAAGTACGGATTAAAAACAAAAACTGTGAGGCTTTCGAGATCAATATACCGTTTACTCGGCGTCAAACTGACGAGGTCGTTTTTGTGCTTTATCATTTAAAAACGACCCTCTTCTTAGGCAAGTTTTTCGAGTAGCTCAGTTAAATGTGCTTTAACCTGTTTCCTTTCTTGAAAATGATACCATCTGCATCTCGAGGTGAAATCAAAGCTTACAAAAATAGGAAATTTATGCACTTGGATTTCAAACTTCTTTTGCTTCGCCGTAATTCTATGGCTGTAGGTATCTTAAACCTAACGATATCATGAAATATCAATTGCACAGTGAAATAGAAAAAAAGAGAAAAGCGATATGCAATTGTACAAGTACACGATGCAATTGTTTCTGAGTAATCAAAGGACACTGATCAAGGCTGGCCAGTGTCGGTCAGCAATTTTGTGCTGTTATTACGAAATCTTACGAGCTGCTCACTTTGCCCTCAGTTTTTAAATGAAAGTCTTGAGAAATTTGCCTACAAAACCAACCTTGATACTCGAATTCAAATTGATTGAATTTTCTTAAGACTTACAGTGATGTAAGGAAGTCATAATTTCGATTAAATTGTAAATAAGATGATCACTATGGTGACGAGCTCTGAACAGTCGTTTTCAAAATGTCGGACAATCCTGAAGATACAGATTCAAGAGCGGAGGAAAAGGAGGATGGTACAAAATCCCGAACCCTAAAAGATGCGACCCACATACTAAAAGCAGAAGCTTTAAGACGGTATCAGCTCGGAAATACTGAGTATGACAGCGAGGGCGCCAAAACTGATGATGGACGCGAAGGTTCATCTTCCGATAAGAATGTTGGGGAAACCGAAAAAAATGGTGAATTACTTGATTCAAAAAACCCAGATTCTGCGAGTAAGGGTACAGACGATGACTTGAATGTTACTGATCGCAATGGTGACAGCGCCAACGACGAAGAAAGTCGACAAGATGGAAGTTTTGGTAAGGATTCTGCGAAACCAAAAGAAGGCAACGCTTTGGAGGATTCTGTTTATGGCGACAGCAACAAATCTGATAAAGAAAACGTTCAGAGATCTGATATATCCGAGAAAGAAGGTGGTAGACCAGGCTCTGATGTTAAAGATCAAGACACAGACAAAGGAACTGATTCTGTTAGGGAAGGGGAAACAGCAAATGAAATCTCGAGCTCTAAACCTCAAAGCGAAGACACTCCGCGGGTTTCAAATTCCCAGGATAAACCAGCACACGTACGTGGTTCGAGGCCAAGTTCGGCGAGTTCACGACCAGTCTCGAGCAAAGCAAGACCAACATCAGAGTCTGAAGGGTCTAAGAAGGGGGAGGAAGGCTATCGAAAACCTAGCAGTAGACCTGAATCAAGAGATGGTAACAGGTCAAGACCGGGATCAGGCGTTGACAAGAGGGCCAAGAAAGAGGAACAAACCCAGCAGCAAGCCAGTGGAAGGGGTGGGTCTGGTACTGGGAGGAGGTCTCGACCGCAGTCAGGAGACAAAGGAGGAGCTGCAGGCAAGGTCATCCAAGATGGGTATACCATTGAAAGTCCAGGAGATACTATTGCTAAGAAAGATGGGGATCTTACTGGTGATGGAATCATTCAAACCACAGATGATATTTCTCAATCCAAAACAAGTAAGGGTGAAATAAAAGAAAGTGTTACGGCAACTGGAAATGCTGCTTTGGCTGCAAACATCAATGAAGGTGTATCTCCAACAGAAGGGAAGGATCTGACTAAACAGGAGCAAGGTCACCATAGTGATAAATCAGTCTCAAAAAATGTGGTTTCTGATAACAATACAGAAAAAATTAGTGTTGAAAACAATTCTAAATCAAAGCAGACAGGAGCTGATGACAAATCAAGTGATGATGTGTCACCACCCATGAGTGAGGAAGCAAAATCTAAAGATCATGTTGATGAATCTAAACAAAGCCCTGACTCTCTTTTTAACAATAAACAGGATCCTGCAGTGGCAGAAGGCAATAACAAAGAAAAGGAAGGGGAACATTCTAAAGAAAGCAAAGGGGAGAAAGAAAGAGCAGAACACTTTGATGGGGGAGGAAACGCTGATGTCAAGTCTAGTGGGAGGGAAGAGTCATCAGAGGCCTTACAATCTAAGGATGGTTCAAAAGATAGCCAGGAGCAAAGTGTCACAACTGACAAAGACGAATCATCAGCAGAACCTGGTGAAGGTAAGAAAGAACAGGATGGTCACGCAGGAAAATCAGAATCAGCAGAAGTAGAAAGTGAAAAAGCAATGGAAAAAGCTGATCAGGAAGGTGGCGATCAAGGTGACACAGAGGGATCCTCTGACACAAAAGTTAAAGAGGAGGGTAAAGAAGGTGACGCATCCGTGGACAAAATTGATGAAACAAAAAACAATGAGGAAAAGAAAAAGAAGAAAAAGGCAGAGGAAGAAGGTGTAGAAAAGCAGGAGAGTTTGGAAGAAGATGGAGAAGAGAAAGCAGATGGAACTGTAAAAACAGATGGAGAAGCACTGCAACCTGGTGAACCAAAACAGACTGCACCAGGTAAATAATGAAAATAAGTGACAATAGCAAGTTATAGACCTGTAGTAAAAGGGAGAATACATCAATTACAGTGACATTTGGCACAATCATCCTTGCTAAAAGTTAGATCTGCTAAAAAACAGTTTGTGAGTTTTACTCTCAGTTTTTTGCCTTCCTGCATACAAAAGTTTCTTATATGTTGTATACACACACACACACACACACACACACACACACACACACACACACAGGTTATGTATTATATATGCTGTGTAACTGTATACTTTGATTTTTAATTTTTTCTCTGAATTCTATAATCATGATTCTAGTACTGCGTGTATCTTATATCCTGCACATATGATGTTGCCTGGGAATAAATATATGAAGAAGTCTTAATGATTTCATGTTGTTAATGTGTAAAATACGTTCAAAATATAGGAGATGCAGAGGAAGAGGCTAAAAGAATTCTACCTGATGACTTCTATTATGATTTTGATGAACTAGTCTCCAAGGCATTTTCAACAGAGGGCATCCCACCAGGGTTGTTGTCATTTTAGTATCCTTTGGGATAGATATGAATGTAATACATGTTCTAGCATTTGCTTACCCTCTCCCTCCCAAGATCTCATTGATAATTCTTCTTACTGTGTGCCATACAACTCTTATGATGTTTAGGTTTGGAGAAATTTCGGTATTGAATCAATTAATAATCCCCTAAGCGATAATTTTTGTATTCTCATCACTTGTTTGTTGGATATTGTATTGATATTGTAAGGAGAAATTCTTTCTTGGTCACACATGGGAGTTAATCTGTCATTGGAGGGCAGGAATGGTATACTGGTGTGAGCTCTCACCTCTCACCAATGTTCTCTTGTTAGTTATTCAGTTAGTTATCTAGTTAATTAGTTTTATATTTGCTTAAGTTCATTGTGACTAAACATGTTTGTTGTTTAGAGTGCTTGATAAGACTTTATTATTATTATTATTATTATTGATTCCCAAACCTGGTTTTGTATAGGGGTTGAGATGATTGTTGTTTTTGACCTTGCTACAACTTTTTTTTTCTGTGGGTCCTCCAGTTTTCCTCCCTCCACAAAAACCAACATTCCAAATTCCAATTCAACCTGGAAACAGTGGCCAGAAGAGCCTCTTCAGGGAATATCCAATGCTAAAATTATAATTCTAAAAGTTAGTATAATTTATTGAAAGTGCTGTACATAGTATAGCATTCCAAAAAATATACCCAAAGTCCATATAAAGCAATTCTGCAAAGCACTTTGCATACATTGTGCCTAATTTCTTCCATTAAATGGAAATTTTTTCTCTCAATTTTATGCTGAAATTTCTTTGAGATGTTCTGAATTTCAGTAACTGCACATGATTACATTAAAATTATAGTTTTTTGTTTGTTTAGTGAGATACATGTACGCGTGTTTGCATCCTTAACTCTCCTCTCTCTTTACAAGCCATTCATTTGGTTTTGAATGTACCAAGAGATCAAACCTCCATGTCTTGGATGAAAACTGTGTTTTATTCTCTGCTGGAAACTCAGTAGAGATTCTGAATATGGAAACACAGGAGCAAACTCACATTCGAACAACAGGGGGAGGTGGGATTGGGGCAGTGGCAGTAAGTTTTTATCTTCACTTGTTTTTAAATGAGACTGGATGTTTCAATAAAATGATCATTATAAGACACTTTCTGATCTTATTTCAGTGTTTCATTATCAGTTGTTTTCTGTTTCTCATTTCTTACACATAAACTGTAAAAAGAAGAATCCCAGAACTGTTTGTAATTTTATAAACAATTTTAATTATTTAATGTTAACATTGCAAGTGTAATTTTGGTAGGTGACAGCTGTAACATACATGGAAACCTTTTTTAATATCAGGTCCATCCCAGCAGAAAATATTTTGCAGTAGCAGAAAAAGGAGTGAAGCCCAACATCAATATCTTTGAGTACCCTTCTCTTAAGCTCCATCGAATCCTTTGCGATGGAACAGAGGAAGGGTATGCCCATTTGGACTTCTCCCCCAAGGGAGACAAGCTTGCATCTGTTGGCAGTGCACCAGACTATATGCTGACTGTATGGGACTGGAGAAATGAACAGGTTATTCTCAGGTCCAAGGCTTTCTCACAGGATATTTACAAGGTAGCATTTTCACCTGAAGATGAGGGACATTTGTGTACCAGTGGTTCAGGACATATCAGGTGTGTAAATTTATGATGTTCAGGGTTTCACTAACTTTTTAACTTACTAGCCAAGTAGCTAGTGACATCTTAGATGTTATGTACAACAATTTCACTTTGTTTACTAGCCAAACTGGGCTGGTGGAAATCAAAATCCACTAGCCAAACCTGAATTTCTACTAGTCTGTGGCTAGTGGGCTAACATTAGTGCCCTGATGTTGGTCTCAAATCAGGTGTGTGATTTGACAAGGCATCTGTACAGTTTTGAAATCAGGGCTAGGTTGTTCCAAGCTGGGTTAAGATAACCCAGAGTTTGTGTAAAATTTTATTTCAGACATGAAAGCTTTGAAAGAAAATTCAGTTTACCTATTTTTTGTCTACAATTTGATGATTGGATGCTCTAAAAAGAATAAGGAAAACTATCTCATAAAGGTTCTTGAATAGAGAAATAAGAAAACCTGGATTAAAATTTAAGCATCTGTAACTCTGTATCTCTGCAGATTTTGGACAATGGCAAACACATTCACTGGACTGAAATTACAGGGACAAATTGGAAAGTTTGGTGCCAAAGAAATCTCTGATATAGAAGGTCAGTGCGTGTTAACAAATGGTTAAACTTGAGCTACATTGTACATGGGGAGCAGTTTTCAATTGAGTGACCAAAACCAAAGTAATCAAAACAACCAATCAGGACAAAAGACAACATCATCGTTAACCATTGCAATGAGAATAATCTATTTTACAGTTGCTTGCTTGGTTGCCAAGTCTGTGAACAGGAGTGAGGCTAAGGGTGACCTAGCTTATAATGATACAAACATTGCTACCTTTCGAATGAAAATTACTTTTTTCATCATGATGCTAACTAGATACTGGCTTCAGTTGGCAACTAAGTACACAACTATGAAATGGCTTATTCAAAATAAAAACAAGCAACCTGCCTGAAGTGCAGGGTCATGTGACCAAGTTGGGATTGGTTTTAGTTTTAGTCAATCACAGAGTGAAGTGATTAAAAGAATAACAGAAGCAATCCAGTAGCACTGTCAATACTCAATTGAAAACTGCTCCAATATTGGCAATTTGTTTACTCAATCTAGTTGAGGTAGATCGTGTGACCAAGTTGGGATTGGTTTTAGTTTTAGTCAATCACAGAGTGAAGTGATTAAAAGAATAACAGAAGCAATCCAGTAGCACTGTCAATACTCAATTGAAAACTGCTCCAATATTGGCAATTTGTTTACTCAATCTAGTTGAGGTAGATCGTGTGACCAAGTTGGGATTGGTTTTAGTTTTAGTCAATCACAGAGTGAAGTGATTAAAAGAATAACAGAAGCAATCCAGTATCACTGTCAATACTCAATTGAAAACTGCTCCAATATTGGCAATTTGTTTACTCAATCTAGTTGAGGTAGATCGTGTGACCAAGTTGGGATTGGTTTTAGTTTTAGTCAATCACAGAGTGAAGTGATTAAAAGAATAACAGAAGCAATCCAGTATCATTGTCAATACTCAATTGAAAACTGCTCCAATATTGGCAATTTGTTTACTCAATCTAGTTGAGGTACTCTATTTTGAGGCTAAATTATTTCTTTAAGTTCAAATTTTACTTTCCTTTGTCTCATAATCCTAATCACACTTGGTGTAAGCGTCAGAGGAATTAGCACCGTAATTACCCATCAAACTTATATGAGCTTGCAGTTGTGTAAGGAGACTTAGTTTGTATCCACTTATTAAAAAATATCATAACGAGAAATTAAACAAAGCCGACCATAATGAAATATCGTGATATTTTTTTAAAAGTGTGGAACAAAATAAAACTCTGACACAAAGAAATGAACCTCCTGGACCTCATTATTCAATTTCTGCAGGTTGATGATCAATGCTGAACATGCAGGAAAGTTACAGTGTAATAGCAATCTAGTTCGTTCTGTAACATTACTTTCATATACTCAAGATACTCAATTAACTGTCTTAACAACAGGTTTTGTTGAGCTTCCTGATGGTAAAGTACTCTCTGGATCAGAATGGGGCAACATGTTACTCTGGGATGGTGGTCTAATTAAAGTGGAAATTTCCAAGAAAGGCAGGAAACCCTGTCATGTTGGTATGATTGAACAGTTCTTTATGGATGAAGGTGAACTCATGACCATTGGTGCCGATGGTTTTGTGAAAGTCTGGGATTTTGAGAGCATTGACAATGCTGACACAACCGAGGAGGGGCAGCTGTTTGAAATGGACCCAATGTATGAGCTGAAGGTAGGGGTTCTGAGGTAAAGTTTGGCTACAAGAACAATCAAGTCATAGTACTGTTACTGCATTAAATAAAGTTGTCAAGTAGCTCTGAAAAAAAATAGTTTGTAGCATTTTGTCCATCTAAGAGATCCATCAGTTCTATGTTTGAATTGGCCCAATTTTTGCCATCACTGGAAGTGTTGTTGAAGCTCGGAAATGACACTTCACTAATTAATGCTGTTATTATTAATTACAAAGTGGATAATTTATTCTCACAGGTTGGCACTGATGTCAAACTCTTGTCAATGGTCAAAGCTGTTAACACTGAAGCACCAATTTGGTATGCTCAGGTAAGTGTCGTTGAACATCAAAATAATAATCTCCTCTGTAAGTTAAACCTACTGACTGTGCTGTATTAAACATGCACTTGAGCTATAAGTTCTCAGTTTCAGAGATGTTTTTTTAAATACTTCTATTTACTTTCTAAAACCTAGAATTACTGAGGTTTTTTAAAGTTTGAGCTAGGGGGATTGTTTACATATTTGCTGCGATGACAACTGGCTGGGTTGACAGCTAGAGTTGTTTGAATAAAATACATGACTGTACATCTCTGATGCACTTCCAATTCTGTTCTTATCCTCTTGATATCTTTTCCTTTTGAAACTTTTTTCAGTTCAGTCTTGAAGAAGCATCTTAAACTATAAGATTAAATTTTTTTTTCAAATCTTCAATCTTTTCCAGGATGCCGCAGGTGGTATATGGAAACTAGATTTGTCATTTACTCACACTGTAAGTATTACAAAGTGTTTTGTTCAAAAATCATTTGATTTCTCTGTTAGATTTGGAGTTAACTGAGGAGATTTTTGTTTTCACAGAGCCATGCACCAGAGAGGATGTTCTCATACCATGCTGGACCAATCACTGGCCTGGAAACTTCCCCTGTTGCTCATTTTGTGGCCACAATTGGAGTGGATCGTGAGTGACTGTTTTTTCTTTTCGTTTTCTTTATGGAGATGGGACAGATAGTGTTCTCCTTTATTTTAAACATACTAGTTAAAAACAATTTTCAAACCAGTTTAGGGCTCCTTTTACCTGTTACAAGAATCTCAAGGAAATCTAGGGGGTATTAATTCTTTCATTCCCAATTTCTTATAAGTAATTCCCTTTACTGTCTGCCATGCAATTCTTCATGGAGAATTTGGCATTGGATCAACTGATGATCCCTTAGGTGATATTTTTCATTATAACCCACCCATTAAGTTTGGCTCAATTTTATTGGTTACTTTACGTTACGTGGTGCAAAATCACAGGAGAGTTATCACGCAATTTTACCACCGTCGGTGTCGATATTATTTTGTCCTCTGATTTTCCATGAAAAAGAAACATAGTCAACACAAGAGTTCCAACTTTTCTGTTCTCCTATTTACATGGAAGGAAACCGAGGAGGAAACCGAAGTAGGGAGGAGTTAAAGGGTTAAGAGGTACCATAGGCCATAAATTTGTATACTTAGGTAATTGCATGGGACAGACTAAAATTAAGGATTAATATCACGCGTGTTTTCAGAAGTTGCTGAAATTGCCCGAGTCTAGCAGCTACGAGGGCAATTTATGCAACTTCCTAAAACACAAGTGATATTAATCCTTAATTTTACGAGGAACCATGTGATTACTTGTTTATAATATGAGGGGCAAAATGTTTTCTTACTGATCTCGCGCAAAACGGGACACCATTGTTACAAAACAAACAGAAATTTCTTTACCTTGGCAGCCGTTGCTAAGCCATTTTCAGCCAATCATTTTGCCCGGGGCAATTAAAAAAATTTTAAAAAAATGCCCTCTGTCTTGACCAATCACAATTCAGTAATTTTGCCCCTTGTATGATCGCCTGTTATGGCCTGAGAAGGAGAACACTAGCTATAAGGGGTTGGAGATGAATTGATAATGCTTCGTACACTTTTTACTTTGATTCCTCTTCTCAGATACTGTTCGAGTCTATGACTACCTCTCCAAGACACCAATGTGCCAGGCTAAATACAACTCAGGTGGTTCTAGCCTCTTGTGGCCCCCTAAAGTGGTGAGTTTAACCAAGTTTATTTATGTTTGTCTACAGAACAATAGTAACCTACGGGTGCTTGCCTCTAAGAGAACAACTGCGTTCAGTTGACGTACATGCAGTCACTCTGGTTTTGGGAACAAGATTTCATTAAGAGGGTTGTTGCTAAACGATAGCTGCTGGCTAAATTCAGCAGCTGAGAAAGATGTAATAGCAATAAGTTTGGAAAGGGTAATTGCTTGCAGTGTTGTCTCAGTCTGTAAATCCTGCATTCACAATTATGGAAATGTGAGGGGTGAAAAATTGGGAGCCAAATTTTGTTATCAGGTCTCTCATTGGGTCAGTACAGTTCTGTTCTCAACCAGCAGACTATTTCCTTAGCTACACCTACATCAATTTTGTGGGATCACAAATGGGACATCTCAATCAAATTAATTCATCTTACTGTTTGTTTATGTGGTTTGATTTGTCAAAATTAATTGTTGTCCTTGTTAAGAAAGCTGTATAAAATATACAGGTATATGTTCATTGTTATCACCTAGCTAACTCCTTTGGTGATATTTTACCTTAACACTTTTTAAAACTTCGTTTAGGTTGACACCAAAGGTACCAAACTACTTGCTGGTTTTGCAGATGGTGTGGTGCGCCTACTGGCTCTAAATAAGGTGGATCCTTCTCAACTGAGGAGCAAAAAGTCCAAGCAGAAATATGAGCTCAATTTGGAGCAAGTTTTTAAACCTCACACTAAGACAGTCACTGTGTTAACTATTGACGAGCAAGGAGAAATTCTGGCCACTGGGGTAAGTTTCTGTCATTACTGATGATAAAGGGAGTTGTTGCCAATCTAAACCAATCCTGGGATCATATTTTACAAGCATGCCCTTTAGCCCATTTCTAGGGTGGCACGTGTTGTGGCGTGTAGCTGTTCACAGCGAGCAGCTAAGGAGTCACTATGAAATCAAAACCCATGAAAATCTTGTGAAAGTATTCATGGTAAATTCACAGATTTTTCAGAGGATCTTCATGGTTAAATCAATGGCACTTTCACGGTCTCAGTGCCATGAAAAAGACATGAAAAATCCCATGAAAAAGCTGTGAAAATTTGCATATTCATGACCCATGAAATCACCGCATCAAAAAAACGTCAACACCCTGACCACTTGGCTATGCTGCTTCCAAGTCAAAACTTGATTTAAATGTCCTGCGCAACCCTGTAACTCGCGGAAGTGATTAATGTGTAACTTCTCCCCAAAAAATCCATATAATATCCACCAAACAGGTAACGAGAATACTCAAACGTATTTGGTGGAAGTTTTTGTCCTGATCTGGCACCAAATTCTCATGACTAAATTACAAGTAAATGTGTAGCAACTGAGGGGAGAATTAACAATCAGATCTTGGAAATTAAAGGGTTAAATTTGTTTTTCATCGTGACGTTGCAGAGTGACGACTGCACAGTGTTTTTCTTCACTGTTGGTGAAACTTACAAACCAATAGGATTCATTGAAACAGCTTCTCCAGTTGCGTCTATGGAATGGTCACACAAAGCAAAGGTAACAGTCTTATAGAGTGCTTTTCGATTTAGTGTTGTTGATCCAAAACCAAAGTAACCACAAAAGTCAATGAGAACTCAAGGTGAAACCAACCAAAATGACTAAAGCGCGGGAAATCGCGGGCGAACACGTGATGATTGGTTTCAATTTTGCATCTGATTGGTTAAAAGATTAGTGTGAGTTTTCTTGACCAATCACAGAGTAAAGTAAAGCAAAGACAGCAATCCCTGATTACTTTCGACACTCAACTGAAAATTACTCTAAAGGTTGTCTTATTATTACTTCGACTTTGTAAAAGATTTCAGTCAGAATTATCGCACTCTGATAAGGGTTATTTGTAGGGTGGGCACATCGTTATGTCCTTGGATTATAATTTGCTTTTTGTGGTGAAGGAAGTTTTGTCCATGTGAGTTATTCGCTTGTGCTTTTTACTGCTTTGAAAGGTTTATAAAACAGACAGAAAAACAAGCGCCACTCTGATTTTGCCCTTTTGAAAACCTCCAAAGAATGTTTTCTCTCCTTTCACGTAAAATGGGGTCGTAAAATGAGCATGTTAAATTAAGTGGTTCAAAGGACTTTTTTAGTTGTTCGGTTACTCTGCAACACTCATCTTTCGTAATCGACATTTATCTCTCCACCAGGCTCCAAAGAGCGTTCTCATCAGTAAAATGGGGTCGTAAAATGAGCATGTTAAATTAAGTGGTTCAAAGGACTTTTTTAGTTGTTCGGTTACTCTGCAATACTCATCTTTCGTAATCGACATTTGTCTCTCCACCAGGCTCCAAAGAGCGTTCTCATCAGTTGTAAGGATGGCACAGTGCTTCATGTCGAGGCTCCCGATCCTGGCAAATATGACACAAGCAAGACGTTCCACCTGCCCCTGAAAAATCTCAAGACCAAGGAGTATCACTTCAAGAGTGTCAAGGATAAACTCAGAGTGGGTATCAGATGGGTGTTTTTTGCCTTTCTTTTTTTTTTTTAATCCAGTGGTGAAAGTAGTCCCGAGTTGCGTTAGTTTTGGTTTTCTTCGCGATATGATTGGTTTTAAAGAAAACCTGCGCTATCCTCTAAGCCAATCAGATGCTTTTGAACTCGCGCTTCCTCACGCTTGAAGTCACTTCCATGCCTCTGAAAACTCTCACCACCCACTCCTCCCTTCCACTTGGGTTTTTTCTTGCTTTTTCTTCCCGTCAGTTTTCGAGTCGTCATTAGCGCCAGGTGAGAATTTTCTTTACTCTGATTTGCCGTTTGAATTAATTTGGCTTTGGGTTTTACGGCAGTCGATCGGGAAGCGCTTGGACGGCTGAACTTGAAAGTGCCTGATTATGTTTGGTCAGTAATATAGATATTTCACGTTTTTGCAGAAAGCCGAACAAGAAGCGCAAAAGGCGAAAGAGGAAGAAGAGAAGAGAAAAAAGAAAGAGGCAGAACAAGCGCGGCGGCGAGCACGAGGATTAGAAGAGGAAGAAGAACAACAACAAGAAGAAAAGGAAGAAGAACAAGAAGAAGAACAGAAGGAAGGCGAGGAAAACGAAGAAGAACAACACAAGGAACCTGGAGAAATTATCAAAGGATTTTATCACGGAAAGACGGAGCAATTCTGGATTTCCATGGTACGTTGTACACCGGCTTACCTATCAGAAATATCAAGATCCTATTAATAATTTTCCTTACTGTCTGCTATGCAATTCTTTTGAGGTTAGTTCGGAAAATTTGGTATTGGATCAACCTAATCCCTTGAATGATATTTTTTACTCTCCTTGTGGGAAAAGTTTCCTTTTGTTCTCTTTAAATTGCGTGATGTTTTTCAAATGTATCATTTCCCTTTTAGGAAACGCAAATTAATAACTTTCCTGACCCAAATGTGAGGCAATGGTTTTTGTTTTGTCCAAAACTGATCAATTCTGAGAATAACCGAGAAGAGGATGGCCACAAACTGCGATTCTAAAGCGTTAAAAAGAGGAAAACGTATTCTTTTTTTTTTTTTTTCCCAATTTATCATTACAATCTATATTTTATGTTTCAAATGTACGTGTCGTCCGGATTTCAGGGCGGTTGGGATGCAGGGTATATGTACCAGTGTGAATTTGATGATGGTAAAAAACCGCCTCCCGCGGAGGGCCAGGAAGACACCCGAGATGAACCAGTGAAATCCATACCTGTTCATAACAGCAACGATACCCCCATCAGATCTGTGTGTTTCAGGTATGACGAATGCGGTGAAAATTTAGGTTTTCTCTCTTTGATGTGGATGCGTAAAACCGTACATAGTGAAAATTTGTGAAAGCTTGCTGCGATAAAGACTTCATTAGACGTCTATGCGAGGACAGTTTCTTCATTCATTGTCAGGATTAGAATTTTCTTGAGTTTCATGAGTGATATTTCCAACAACTATATGTTCTCTTCCCTTTCTCTTGGTGTGTTTCGGATCTCAGCATTTAGCCAATGATGGGCGGAAAATCTAAGCGTGAATCTGACACTGAAGTAGGCACACCTTTTCAATTTTTTTGAGTTGAATTCAAGTATGAGGTTTTTGCTATCTCAAACTTGTTGCTTCGTAGAGTTGTTACCTTTAGTTAAAGCCTACCTTAAGTCGTAAGTCTTAAGCCTTAAGTCTTCAGGACACCGCTCCTCCCTGCGTCGCCGTTTTCAAATGCCTGAACTGAGATTTTTTTCTCTGTTGCTTTTCAGTCACTCAGGTAAATTCCTCCTTTTTGGAATGGACGATGGAGTTCTTCGTATTCATCCTCTGGACGGATCGAACGACCTTGAAGACTTCAGCACATTTTGGGCACTTAATGTACACGACAACCACCATGGAGGAATCCGACACATTAAAACCAGCTTTGACGACAAATATGTCTTCACTGCTGGAATGGACGGTAACTTCTTCGTGTTCCGCTTCATGGATAAAGCTGTGGAAGGCCTTAAGGTGTCTCATAAGGTGTCCATACCTTCTGCAAAGGTGAGATAAGCCGAGGGAAATAAGTAACGCCCCATTTATGCAATGGTTTTAAAATTGTTCTCCTCACAGAAGTTGCTTGATATGATTTTTGTCGACTTCAAATTTAGAACAAAGAAAATTCGAGCTACTGACTACTTGAACTCTATGTAAAGTTCAGTTTTGCAATTTTCAGTTGCTGATTGTCATCTAGTAGACTCTGGTTTGACTAAACATATATTTGCTGGTATGAATGGGGCGTAAGACTAGTATTGAGCAATCAGTTGGTCTGTTGTCGAAAATAACCCGGGTAACTGCAGCTTGAGCTTCACTACGCTTCCGTGATTGGTCCAGGAGTCTTGTACCAAGCTCTTAACCAATGAGATGCTAAACTTAGACCGAGAGTAACTGGTCACTCCCATTTTCGGCGGACAGAAAAAATGCAAGCTTTTCTCGTGTAAGAAAAATTTGGGGTTTTATTTAACAACCACGGGAAAACCTTTCGTCCTTTGTTTGTGTTATCTTGTCACAAAATAAAGACAGAATAAAATGGATAATTACAGAGAATGGTAAGCCCCATCGACTGATGGATTTCAGCTCCATTCTTAAGTCTGGTTTCCATATCCTGATTATTTTAGAAGCTGATCGGGGAAGAGGGCGAAGAGATAGTGAAAAAAGTCGACGATATTGATGACCCAAGCCATTATAGTATCGAACTCGAGAAGCAGAAGGCGGAACACGACAGATTGGTTAAACTGGCCGAGGAGAAAAAGCAGGTATTTATATGCGCAGCGAATCTAGAGCCATTCAACATGTAGGCTGCATAGTAACCACACGAGGAAAAACAAAAGAACTAAGTTCCTAGGGGCTCGCGCGGGAGGAAAAAGTGCGTCTGTCAAAGAGGGGAACTCGCTCCGGCCGTTGCGTGTTTCTCAAGTTCTTCTTACGTGAAATCAGCATCAGCCCGCACGCCGGCTATTAAAAGGACAAAATGCTTCTCGTCCTTCCCACAAGCCCTTTGTGTCGTAATTATCTTTTGTTACTTCTCTAAATGTACCTTCTTTTTCCAGAACATTCGTCGAAAGGTTGGAAATTTGAGAAGAGCCTTTAAGGAGTTAATGACCCGAAATCAGAAGCTTCCTCCACATGTGCAGCTTACGACCGATGTAAGTTTGTTTTTTTCCTTTAATTTTTATGTTGACCGAAATATTATCAACGTTTATTGTGACTGAACACCATCAGTCGTGAAATATTCGAATCCTGTCTGTAGAGGTCTGTTATAAGGAGTCAACTCCACATTTTTTTTGTTTTTTTTTAATGTGTTACCTGAGGGAATCCGTGTTTTTCTGTTTCCAGGAATTCGAAATTGATCCCGATCTCGTCAAGGAACAGAAAATTGAGGTGGACAAGAAAGTGAGTGCGAATTAAGCAATCTATTTTTAGCCTGTTCGAGACACTCGGATTGTTGGGACAAGCGAGAAAGCGAGGAAGCGAGGTGAGCAAGGGAAAACAAAAATAATAGTCTGACTTTCCCGCTCGCCTGCTTTTTCGCTTTTCTCACTCACCGTGAACCTGACGTCAGCTAATCCAGTTGTTCCCACTGAGTAAATGTGTAAGACGAACCTGATTTTATGCTTTTTTCGGATTTTGTCCTTTAGATTGAACTTGTTCGTAAAGAGATGGCTTGGGAAGCAGAAAAAAAGTCTATTGGATTGAAAAAACTGCAGAAAAGGTGAGAAGAGATTTCACTCTTTGCTGTCATGTGTTCTCCCACTGAGCTACAGAGTTAGCTTTTAAATTCGGGTAGAGTGTGACAAGCGTCCCTTGACTTGCGTCCCGTGACCTGTATGACAAGCGTCACGGCCAAATCGCATCTTTTTGTAATTTAATTTGTCGTAATTCTCACCACGTTATGACTTTTTGATGAACAATGTTTGTTTTTGTCACCTTGCAGATTTAAGGACGAGGTTGAATGTGATCGAATTGTACTCCGCGCGTTCCTTACACCTCATCTTGTGACAGCCTTCAGAGCAGCTAAACCAGACTATCTACACCAGCTGCTACAGGAGGCTGTAGGGACGGGGGGTGGAGAGGGAACTGACGGGGGAGCGTCAGGGAGGAAGACCTTCACAAGTGCGTCGCAGAAAGCAGCTCAGGTAAGGGATTATCTTCGATATTTTATTTATGAACATTCTCAATCGAGTTATTTTGAAAGAAAACTGGGAATGAGCCGAGTGGCGCGAAAGAAAAACGCGAATTGTCACAACAGCCAATCAGAATAAGGAAAATGTTAGAAGGAGCCATGGGAACGCAAAGCTGGCCAACTGCTTGGAACGCGGGAAAATGTGGCGATCACGTTGTGAGTGAAACAGAATAGTAAGTTATCCTTCATACAAGACTTTGTCCCTTGTGAGTTTGTGACTTTGATTGAAGGGGTGGGGAAGGGAGAGTGTGGGTATTGTGGCAAAGTGTCCTTCAGGTTGAATTTCATTTCTAAATACTTCCTCTAAAGTGGTAACGTGAATGTTAGGCATCATTCAACCATATTTGTCGTGGATTTAAGACCCCTTATGTATCCCTGCAAGTGCTTGATATATGAAATAGTTTTATGATCACAATGTCATTTTATGCAGATGAAGAGGCGTACCACTCAAGAAAAGATTAGTGTAAACCAACAACAACAGCAGCAACAAGCTCCGACGACACAAGGCCAGTTGGGAAGCAAAGTAGCAAATGCACTGGCCAAAGCAGAAGCTCGGAGGCAGAAAAGACTTGCCAGACAGGCCGAGGTACCTAGAACTATTTGATGTACGCTTGCAAAAATCTAGATAAGAGCAAGTGGTCGCCAGAAAAGCAGGTTGAAGCGCAAGAAGACGCACAAGGGACGAGAGCTCGCCCACAAGCACGCTAGGTTTTAGATAGTAACTCAAATAAAATTTAGGATGTATCGCGCATGAAAGCTCTGCAGCTAATTCGTTTTCCAGTCTTTGTTAGAGTTCTGAAACAGTCATGCTTTAATTTGCATTTCAGTGGGACGAGTTGTATCGAGGCAAGCCTGACGAAGGCTATGAAGATCCTAAAGATCTGGCTGCCATTAAAGAAGCCCGAGAAAACATGGGCGATTACAAGCTGAAGACTGCTAAAGATTATGTGGTGCCTGAAAGCCAAAGGGTGAACGCGGAAAAGAAGAGAATTCAACTGCTAAAACTACTTGACCAGGTAATTGTTACCCATCATTGTTTCGCGAAGTACTGCAAGTATTATTGAGTATGAAAGAAATGTAAGCTGAATGTTCGAAAAAGCAACCGCATTTTGATGCTTTTTTGTTTTTCATTTCCGTTTTGTTTTGTCCAGATTCATCATTACAAGTTTGAATTCAACCATTCATTCTTAGCTCTGCGAGATAAGAAAATCAAGATAATCAAAGAGGTAGGTCAAGATGGGTAACCTGTTCCCTCGGCAGTGAATTCTATCAACTAAAATAAGAATTGTGACGTTTTGTTAACACTTGCATTTTCATTTTGTAGTTGAAGGAAGTGGTGGCCGAACTCGAGGAAGTACAGCGCAAGATTGACCCTCATTCCCGACGGACAATCCCCAAAATACCCGAAATGATGCCGGATGAATGTCCCGAAAAGTCAGTTTTGTTAGAGGTTCAGTTGATGATAGAAAAAATATCAATCAGAAGCAGAAACTAATCCCAACTGGTAGCGGATTATAAGTAAACTGTCACTGACAAGCTCAGGACAAAATGAATTTGTTTCTGACCGGTAGATTTTCAGATTTATCAAGTATTCAAAGCTTTCGGTCTATTTTCACCTCCGTGAAGAAAAAGAACGCTTTCTTCGCTTCATTTCCCGAAATACTTTCTATTTGCTTTGTGGATTGTGCCGAAATTCTGACACACTCTTCGTTATAAAATCGCGTTTCATAGGGAATCAAATATTTCTCGACCAGCAGTGCGTATCGGTGAAAGCACCTTCCGTTTATTAAATATAATTGAGGTAATTTGTAAATGTGTAACAGATTAACATGTGAAAATGGTAAATATTCCTAAGAATCTTTTTTACGAATGGTGGTTTCTGTGCCGTCCCCACAGTGTTTTTCATGTCGGCCCCAATCTTTCCCCTGGCAAACTTCATCGCAGTACAAAGCTATACGACAACCACTGCACATCAATAAGGAAGCACTCACTTTTCCGCAACTTTCACACTTGAGGTTTTGACTTTCTCGATTAGCTCTAGCAGCCTTCTGTTTGGAATCTTCACTTGCACGTTTTTTCCTCTTTCTTGTTGCTGTGAACTCGTAAATTGTTTTCTGTCGTGTTTCAGCTTTCGCCTTCGCCTTCTCCGCCTTGTGCTCGCGTTCCATGTGATCAAGAGCTTTTTGCAACTCTTTGTCCTTGTCATTTATCAAGGCTTGAATGGATTTCTTTGCAATTTTGTGCACCTTCTTAATAGCGAGTTGACCTGCTTCTCTCTCCCTGTCGATCATCCTCCGAAAAAGTTCTTTTTTCCTTTCAATTTGAACTTTCTCCTCGTTGATTTTCGCGGCCGCTACCACGGCAGCCGTTTGTAGCACACTCTGTCTGTAGTCATCGATTAAATTTTCTGTACTTCTTTGACAAGAGTCCATGGCATCTTGCAGCTCTTTGATCCTGTCCAGTAGATTTCTAGACATTTTTCTTAGCTGAAAAACGTGTTAGTGGAGCGGAATTTGGGAGAAAACGATTTTCTACGCCTTTCGAACTGAACAGAGTCTTAGCGTGTTGGTTGTTATTTTCGGTTGCCATGGATTTCCTTTAAACATTGTTGACGCGTACTCGCGCGCGCAGGCTTGAGATTTGCAAATGGTTCAATACGCATGTTTGCGTATTAATGCTTCAAATGAGTTTATGGAGAAATGTTTTCGGGATGCCCTCCAAAATGATACTAATAGCAATGCACTCAATGTTTTTGGGAATAAATAAGTTTTGGGCCCTTCTTAGAGTCATTTTGACGGACCAAAAACATATTTATGCCTGCGAACATGAACCAAAATTTTTTTTTTTGTAGTTTGTGTTACAGTAGTTACACTTGTTTCATTGGTGAGTTCTTTAGAGAGAAGAGGTATTTAAAAATTGATTTTTGATTTTATTTCCGTTCCTTTTGTAGACGACTTGAATACACACGCGAGCAGTTACTTGAATTCAAGAAACAATTGGACGAAAAGGTCCATCGAGGAGACCAGGTAGGAGAATTTGGAGGGTTTGGTGGATTTGGTGGCGGGGCAACTGAGGTGAGTACACGCTTTGTTTACATCGGGGAACTGAGACTGCGTATTGCTACAATTGCTGAAAGATTTCACGACTTTCTCTTCGCTACATGGTGAATCAGTTAATTTCAGGACCCATTTATTCTTATTTGTCTGGGAAATGACCTTATATTTTTTTTTCTATACATCAATATTTTCCATTTGTCATTTCAGCCCTCAAAATTGGCTCCAACAAGCAAGCCAGGAACACAGCAGAGGGAGCGTTCTATCTCCTCCGTCTCTGTACATTCGGGAAGGCCTAAGTCTAGCTTGAGTACTTTGACGGACAAAGGAACCCCCGACCCCACGTTAGAAGATATCAGGGAGGACCCGTCCCTACTGGAGCAGGAGATGCAATATGAGGAGCAAATCAGGTTGGACAAGTATTCTTTCAACTATTTTTTCGGAGGGTAAGGGGGGGGGGACGAGTAATTATCTAATTGATTCGTCAGCAAAGGAGCGCGAAATTTTTCTTACAATATACAAAGAAATACACACACACACACACACACACACACACACACACATGTAGATACAGAGGCCTGTTGGTCAGCACAAACCTCGAGTATATAGACTGTTCTGCGATGTTCCACTGTTAGATACTATTATGTGTTACCAAATAAGTGAAAACGGCGCACCTATGAAATGCACGCCAAATGAAAAATAGGCAAGTAACGCAAGAAAATGGGCAATCAGCGGCAAACGCAGGTAACTCCCCAAACAAAGGCAAGCGCGGGAATGGTTGAGCTAGTCCCACGCGCCGGAAAATGTATTTACACTGACTAACCTGGGAATTTAATGTTGAAGATGTTGAGTGTTTCTTTGATTTTTTTTTCTTCTGTGCATGCAAGGTATTGTGACTTAATGGCTTACATTGCTCCAACAATTCTTACCGAAACTTCTGTAATTTTTTTTTTTTTTTCAAAAAATGATGCTAAACATTATGTTCTGCCAATCCAGGTTACAATACGAACAAGATGTATTAATCGACAAGATCACCAGCACACTGGAAAAATTTGATGCCGATTTGCGATACCTGAGACACGATAAAACGCATCTAGAAGTTGCTGTGAAGTGCGCTGACTTAAGGTGAGGTCCATAGAATAAAAGGGTTAGAATAGGCCATTTTACAGTTGTGTACTTAGTTGCCAAGCCTTTGATTTGGAGTGAGGCTGAAGGTGACCTTGTCATGATAGAGACCTGTATCTCGTTAGCATGATAACAAAGTGATTTACATTTGAAAGGCTGCAAGGTTTGTATCATAACAAGGTCACCCTCAACCTCACTCCCATTCAAAGGCTTGGCAACCAAGCCCACAACTGTAAAATGGACTATTCTCCAAAGAGACTAGAAGTGGCAGGTGTGAAAACAGTGAGATAAGGGGTGTCTTTTGGTCTCAATTTTTTCGACATCCCTTTTTCTTGGGGGGGGGGGAGGCAATGTGGGGAAGAGAGGGGAAGAAAGTAGAGAGGGGGAGAGTTGAAGGGCCGAAGCCTGGGGAAGACTCTAAGCTTCGTTTGCTTGATTTTGTTACTTTTCTTGATAGGCAAGTTACTCTGTTTGAAGAATTCATGCTGCTAAAAGAGTTCGAGAAAAGAGAGAACAGCTTCGCCAACAAAGTAAACACTAAACTCTCTGAGAAGGAGGAGATGCAGGAGAAGGTATTTAGAAAGACTTCACAGCGAAATGTGGTTTTTTTTTTTTTTCTTTTTGATGTTGATTGTCATGTAGCAAATCCAACAAAATATGTTACATTCCAGTTCATTTTCTGAGCTCTCGTTCAGTGCTCATTATCGGTTTGTCCATCTTATTAGGTCTGACGCAACTGAAAAACCGAGTTTTTGCCGGCGCGTGCAAGCGACGCTACCTTGTGTTTAACACAACTGAGAAATTTGCCTTATCATCTCCACTGTTGTAAACTCCCGCGCGTGTCACTTGGTGGAGTTGTAATTGTAGTTGTAATTGTGTCACTAGGTGGAGTTTGTAATTGGTTGTCTTATATAGTCTTATATAATAAAAGATTGTGAAAAGCACGCAATTCAGCCTATGGCTGCCATGTATTTTATTTGGTAATAAACTATCTATCTATCTATCTATCTATCTATCTATCTATCTATCTATCTATCTATCTATCTATCTATCTATCTATCTATCTATCTATCTATCAATCTATCTATCTATCTATCTATCGATCTATCTATCAACTCGAAGTGTAGGTTCACTCGCCTAACGCCATTTTTTGTCTATCTATTTACGCACAAAATGGTTGGCGAGCTAATACAAACAAATGTCAAATTTTTTTGTCATGGCTTGAACGATAATGGGTCAAATTTGTTTCTCATCCAGGTAGAAGACTGTCAATTAAAATTAGACTCTAAGAAACAAGACATCGAAAAGCTCCAGGAACAGGAAAAAGCGCTTTACAACACGTTCTCGGCAGCTCTCGGCGAGAACAACAAGTTCGAGTCGTTTTTGACGCGCGTTTTCAAGAAGAAAATCAAACGCGCTAAGAAGAAAACTCAAGCTCAGGAAGGTTCGGACGAGGAGAGCGAAGATGAGGAAAGCGATGAGGACTTGTCTTCGAGTGATGAGGAGGATTCTGACGCGGAGGAACTGGACGACAGCGTGTGTCCACCAGGGTGCGACCAAGCTTTGTTTGATCAGGTGTGTTACTGATCCTTTATATGTGGGGACTATTGGGTTAACTTTTCTTTACTGCATATATACTGAAATCAGTCATGCAGTTTAATCATGAGTCTATTGCCCGGGTTTAGAAGGTAACCGTATATAAATTGCTCAGTTGATTGATTGGAATGACTGTCGAGTGACTGATGAGCATGTTGAGTGACTGATTGGCATGTCGAGTGACTGATTGATTCGTCGACTGATTCGCTGACTTACTGATTGACGGACGGACGGATTGATTCATTGCTTAATTGATTGATATGGGTGCTGGTTTTTCTATCACGATTCAAGGTTTGTCAGCTACGCGAGCGCCGCTTAGTCTTGGAAGAAGAATTGGCAGAAGAAAAGAAGACAAGCGAGACCCTGAAAAAGGAATCTGACGCACTTATAAAGAAAGCAAAAATCATCGATGGTGCACTGAAAACGGCTGAGGCTGATTTGGAAGCTTTCCAGGTAAGCGGAATAAATGAAATGTGATTCACTGTCATTTTAAAATCCTAGTAAAACAACATAGGGGTCGTTTTTGCGAAAGAAGAAAAAATCATTTTAACTGAAGTAGAGCCTTGAAAAGTAGTTGCGAGGTCGAACAACAGCCAGTGGTAGAGATGAATCGGAATGGATCGGGAATTTTTAAGGATGAACAAGATTTTAACACTTGGATTGCAAATTATAAACTTGTTATTTCAAGATACCTAAAACTCGACAGAACTCCTTTAAACTTGCTAATCAATTTATTTATCTAAATATTTTTAGCGCGAAAAGCAGCAAAAACTCAACGAACTAGACGTGGTTGTGGTGCTCAGATTTCATCAGATCCAGTACACGATAAACAGTGTACTGCCTCAGGATCTGTCGCAGTGTCTTGTTTTTAACAGCCCGGGGCTGGTGCGACTACAGCACAGGATCAAAGAGCTGGAAAAAGAGAAAGCTGAGCAAAAGAGACTTTACAGGTTAGATAAAAATCTGATTTTTGCCTCAAATTCTCAATTATAAACTTGATTCCTAGTTGTATTAGTTGATTAGCTCACCCAAATCTGATTCACATTGCTTTTGATAGCTGAGCTGTGTTAATTTATTTTTCCAGGGAGCATCGCCAGACTCATGTGCAGCTCATCCGGGACAAGAAAGTCCAGGAAGCCAGGGTAAGGTTACTGTGCAGCATCTAACTGACCAAGTCACAGGAAGCCCACTATTGAATTAATGTGCGCGAAACAGTGAAAATTTTCGGGAGAACTGTCGCACATAGCGACAAGTACACAAAATTATAGGCCTAAAATACTAAAAAAGAATAGTAGCTGAGTTAAAGTTCCTTTAACAACTAAATGCTTTCATCGTCCTTTGTTTGTCATGCGACCGCACTTTGCAAGTAATCTCTGTCTTTTCTTTGGCCGCTCCCCACGCGTTGATGCTCTTCGGGTCGAAAATGATTAAACAGATAAAAGAATAGATAGGTGAGTTAACGGATAGGAAAGACAACGCTCACAAAATTTCCATCCCTTCTTGAGTCTCACCACATCCTAATGGATTTCTTCCTTAGATCGGTGAATTGGAAGAGAAAGTTCGTAGCATGTTAATGTTGAAATTCGGCCGGCTAGTGGACCTGGAAAAGCTCGAGTCTGTAACAGTAAATAGAACTGTGGAGGAATTGAAGGAGAAACTCCGACAACAAGAGTCTAAGAGCGCCGCAGAGATCGCCAAATGGAATGTGAGTTCTTCTTTAAAACTCTACGTCAGCAGAACCTCAGAAGTATTGGAGGATGGGGGTTCCGTGAATATGGCAATAGGGAATTTAAGCAAACCACGACGGCGACGGCAACGAGAACGTGGAAAAACAATAGATCTAATTGGCAGAACAATAGCCCAGCACGTTTGTTTTAAAACTTTGTACATTTCTTAGCCGTCCTTTGCAAAACAACGTGAAATCACCAAAATTTGCGTCGTCTGCAAACCGAAACCGCGGCGGCAAATTATTTTAATTTCCATTTGGAACTCAACGCTACTTTTATGCGTTATGATGAGTTTGAGGTCTGGCGCTCTATGAGACGGTAAACACATGCAGCCATTTTCGAAATTCTATTTAAAAGTAGAAACTCATTTTTTAATCGACGTCTTCCGTGGCGTTGCCGTCCTGACTGCTTAAGTTCCCCAATAGAGGGAAGGGGGGAGGGGCAACTTTCTAATATTTCTCTGCGTACTTGAGCCATGGTGCAATTAAAGATGAAAGAGCTTTTGGAGACGAAGTTAACCCCCTTTGCCCTTCCTCCCTCCCCCTCTCTCCTATTACAATTTCCTGGTTCAGTAGAGGATTTACTATTAACACCAGATTGGTTATTGAGACGTACTCCTGAGTTAAGTTGACTTTTGTTGTTGCTATTGATATTTGCTTCAGAGCAAGATTGATTCGTTCAAAGGCAAAGTGACGCAACTTACTCGTGAGAACACACAGAGACTGGACACCTTCACTGTTTTACTGCAAGAAAAGAAAGAGCTTGAACAGATGCTGAACTCACGACAGAAGTCACTCGGTACGGAGTTTACCGAAAGTCGCAAGGCCGACATCCGGGAACGGCAGCGTTTGGTCCAGCTAGTGCAACTGCAGGCTCAAGAAATCGACGCTCTCAAGGATGAAATAACTTTGCTGTCACGTAAAGGCGGGCATATACTGCCACCGGCACAACCACCCCTCCCTCCTGGACAAACGCCCATACCCAATCAATAATTTGTTATCGATTTCTCTCGAAAAGCCAAGTTTTGACTGTAAGAACTATGTTGTTCTAAGGGTTTGTTTCATTGTTCGCGTTTATTTTTATACATGCACTGTAAATAATGGTATGGAGACTAAATGTTGGTCAGGATTTCAATGATTATGTTTAAGCTCCTAATAAAGACACAAAAGATGTCGCTTTAAAATTGTACGAAACCTAGTGTGAATACGATCTAAATTGTCATCACCAGCAGATTGCTTAGCTGATTACAACGAAGCGTAATGTAGTAACATAAACAAAATTTTCAACTGCTTTAATCAGATTCACTGCAATTACGGGTGTACACGCAAACGCACGCTACTTGCGAGTCACTCACCTCACACAACAACCACCTTTCGCCAAATCCGGTGTCAGTTCGTAAAACATTATTACGCCCGAGATAAGAATTTAAAATCTTGCCAAAACAACGCAAGTATCAGTTATCACTGAACAGACTCACAAAAATCTCATAAAGGTCTCCAAAAGAATTTTCTTACGTAAAACGCATTTTTTTAAAACTTATCACCGCTATGAACTTCATAACGCTTTTGGCGAACTGTGATCAAACCCAACGAATTTCATTCTTTTCATTAAGCGTTAGTCGAGGAGGCCTGGACAATGAGGAACGACCACTTGACATCCCCAGTTGAAAGTCTCGTGTTGATCCTTGCCGGGTGGGGAATCTGGAAACGAGTTAAGGATTAATTCCGAGCCCTTTTTTTACATAAAACCTCGTCTAATTTGTCCTTTAAATCACCTTACTCTCTCCCGGCTACGGTATTATATCTACTTTGCAAGTGATTTTTTCTTCTTTGTTCATACCAGCACAAACTAAACATTCGTTTCCAATGTTGTACGCCGTTTTATTCTCTAAGCAAGTAATAAGTTACTTACTAACGACAAAAGGATACGAAACTGCTCTGTCTTCCGGTCCCCTTGCATTACTAACTTGAAGGCCAGCCTCGCGCCGAAAATTGCGAAGCCACTCGGCATGAGACTGCAATCGCTCAGCGGTGCTTAACTCTTTCTCTGAGGTCCAGTCCTTTACACCCGCTGGTTCCCTATAGACCGTAGAACATAAAAAAGGATGAGAAATCCTTAGGACAAATAAAGCTCTTTCGATTGGGTTTTCTCAAATAGTAACGCGGTTATTAGAGTAGTGTGAGTTTTCAAGACCGGTAAAGTTTCAGCCACAAACGGATTCTCGGACTACCTCGCGACATCCAACTCTGATTAAAAAAAAAATTGCATCATTTCACGTACCTTGACCCCGACAAACTACCCGTAGGTCCGAGGGAAAGCGAGGCTGGCGAGTCACGTGATTGATCTGAAATTAAAAAAAAAAAAAAAAAGGCACGGTGTTTTTGTGAGTGGAATTAAAAATACAGTTAATCAACTGTAATATAACAAGTTCTTTGGGATGATTTATGAGGGTGCCAAAACAACCTCAGCATGTTGCTTTAACATTTAATATATAAAAAAAAAAAAAAACTTTATAAAACAAGGAATATTGCGGTTATAAAGCGATAGTACACGAAATGAATCAAAAGTAAATATTTTCTCTTGCGAAAGATTTTTTACCCACAGGAAGAAGAAAAGACTTAACCCTTAACAGTGACCAGCTTCTAATTTCTTCTTACAGTATACTCCTCGAATCAAATGTAAAGGTCATGGGAATATCAGAAATGATCACCAAATTAAGAAACTCCTGAACAGCTTTACGGAGCCCTTTAAGTTAACGGGACCTTATAGAAACGGGCCCTAGGTTCAGACTCTATCTAGAAGTCCCGCAGTGATTCGATTCACTTCGCTTCGGAGACAACTGATCTGTTGATCTCCCAAAAGTTGGGATTTTGAACAACTTATACCTTAAGAACCTTAATAACACTGAGGTGTTAAATACTTTAGCACTTCAATTAACATATCATATGGATCACTTTTTTAATTGTTGTGTTTTAGTCTTGATGTGAACTTAACCTCCAAAGTACGATCTCCATTTCCTTTCCAGCTGCGACTCAGTGCTTTCCTGGTTTCTGTATGGAGCCTGAGTTTGTGGAGGTCCGCTATTCATAGGACTGCTGTGGCAAACAATAAAACAGATGAATTAGTCCAGAGGGTTCTAATTTCTACGGCGATCGTGAAATTTTGAATTGAAAGGGATTCTATGTAAGGCCTCCCTTCAAACCAGGTTATAAAACGTTTTCAATATTTTAAATCCGATTGATTAGGTACAAAAGGAAATAAGTGTACATGGTAACTTTTAAAGAAAGAGGATTAAACACGGATAAACAGATAATCTAACTACAACAGGTATCAAACGACAAGCAAACGCGCTACATTTTAGGTAAAACGTTATTGCATTGTGGTGCTTTTTGATTTGCTCAGCATGAAGCGAATGGTACAACACTGACAACACTTGTAACAAAGCACAGTCTTAAGCTAGGATATACCAGGGACAACCCCACTTAAAAGCAATCGTCGACAAAAACTCACAAAGTAGTAGTTTGTCCGTGGCGGCTGGGTACCACATGAGCACCAGTGGGTACCACAGGAGCACCAGTGGGTACCACAGGAACACTAGCACCTCTCGAAAGATAAGGATCTGTTACTGTGCCAGGGTGGTAGGGGACCTGGGCCTGACTGACCCGACTTGCTTCAGGATACACAGGCGCGACACGAGGCTCCCTGAGAGCATCAGGAAACGGCTGCGTGACATGCTCAGCCCTGAAGGGGCCCGGCGTGACACTTGGGTGAGTAAAGGATGGTGCACGAGTCTGAAGTAATGTTAAAATCCGCGCCAAGTCCGTGTTTATCTGCTGTAACGAGTAATGAACGGCTTCGGAGCTTTCATCCCCAGTAGAGGGTTTCCTCAGGTTTCTGGGAAGGGCCACTTTCGGCTGCCTGCTGCCCATCTTGACGTCACTTCTTCTAACGTTCCCGCTTATGATATCACCATAGTCGCTACTGCTGATGCCGCTGCTGTCGTCATCATCAAGAGTCTTACGCGGCGTTTTCCGAGGACGGTGCCTGTCTCTTGTCGACGGACGAGCGTTTCTGGAATGCCCAAGGAATGTGTCTCCCGAGTCCGAAGCAGTTGACTGAAAACCAAAAAGAAAACATTCTTAGTACTTAAAGAGAGGAGTGCTGTCAACGTTAGTTGACAGAATTTGTCATTTCATGCGCATCACAGAATTACTGAAAAACCGTTAATTTCAAGCAAGATAATTTCGAGTATGATAACAATGATAGTGCCTTACCATTCCGCCTAACAAGGCGTTCTCTAAAACCCTGAGCCTATCTTCCTTCTGTCTCAGCAATTCTTGGCCAGCGGTCATGTTGTCCATTACCACTCCAAGTTCCGCTTCCTCCTAGACAACAAGAAAATATCAAGAGTGTAAGGCTCCTGAATAAGCAATGTGCATGGAGTTAAGAACGCATCTGGCCGTGTCATTTAAGGTTCACATATACCACAATCAGCCAGCTTGCCAATTCTAGGCGAGAAAAAACCTTTATAGCGCTCGGCATTTCAATCTCGTGCTAGAAATACCAAGCCAAGTAGTCAAAACGACCTTACAAAACAAAGGAAACTGTCAAAAGCAGCCAATCGCTACTCTGTAATTTTGGTTTTATCAACTGAGCTGATAATGTAAGTGGGCCACCGTAAAGAGTGGTCCTTCGTCATTCGCTCTGACGAAGGGCTAACGCTCGAAACGTCAGCTTTTAAACTCTTTACGATGGCCAACTTATATCATAAAATCGGTCGTTAAAAAAGCCAAATCATCTTGTTAGACTCCCCGCCGACGCAGCACAACAGTTTCTTTAGAAACTTAACCTCTTAATTCAACACCACTTAGCTGATAGGGTGGTGTTATTTTCTTGACCAGTTAGAGGGCGCAATGGAGTGAAACCGAAGCAATCCCTGATCCCTTTCGACACTTAATTGAAAGCTACCCTTTTTGGTCAGGTTTCCTTTGGTCCTCTTCAAGCGCTGAAAAACGAGACAGGGGACAGGGAGGGAAGCCAAGTGTGACGACAAAGGGTTGGGCAATGAGTACTTAACGGGGTTTTAATCCAAAGAAATAACGTCATTACCTCATCTAAGCGTGTTCTTACATCTTCCAAGAACGTAGCGTTACGACTGGACAGAGGCTGCAGGAGGAAAAAGAGGAGTCATTGTACAAAGTTGTCTTTAAACTGTTGTTATCGAAATTACACGTTGTCTTTTTTTTTTATTCCAGAATAGTTTAAGTTGCGCATGTTGAAACAAACCTTTCCTCGTGAACTGTTCCGCGACACATCATTTGTCCATTCTTTCCGAGCATCCTCTAAAGCGGTCTGATGAGGAAAAAAACCCTTGTTATGTAACAAATTACAGTCTGTATTGGGATCAGAATTGGCCCAATCATGTATACTTAATCCGGTTATCACAACATAAGGTGGCTAGTAGTGTTCCTTATCTACCTTCGTAAGACGCTATACCATCATGGGTTTCATTAAAGGAACCCAAATGGCACCATCTAAATCAGATAGTTTCGCTAAAATTGTACTACACTGTCACTTTAAAGTCGTAATCTAGCATGCAACGAAAGCATTATCCAAAAATTAAGTAACTTGACACCCGAGATCAAATGATCATTGCGAGAAACGCTTTTCGTAAATCTTTTACTCCAAGCAGGTAATTTCTCCGAGGTCTTTTACAGAAATTGTGACATGTTCATAATAAATAAGTGAATTTTTTGAAAATCGTTGATTGTATCTATTGTAGATATCATCAGGAGGAAATAAGTCAAGCTCGTTGAACCCCAATCTAAAAATCTCCTTACTTGTCTTCGTTGGACAGAGCGCCGTTGCCGTCGTAAAAATTCCTTGGCCCTTGTTATTGCATCTCCCTCTTGCGCAATGCGGCTTTTCAATTCGCTGCAAGAACAAGCATGAATTTTTACTTCCAAACTTTATGACCACTCCCTTTTCTTCCCAGAGTTATTTCCCGCGCGAGTCAACAGATGCCAGCAAATAGTTTCGGTTCGCTTTTCCTAATGCCTCTTTTTCAAGAATTTACACGGTGCCCAGATACCTTTATCATCAGACTTGCACTTCGGATTACGCTTTTAAATTAAAGACGTTCTGCTCTGTGACGTTAATGGAAGTACAGATTTAACCCGATTTTCCCTCAAATCCCATTCCCTGAGGCACCAGAGCTCAGCAAAATCCTATCCCAGTTACCTGAATACTAATTTCCCAGTCTTAAAAGAGAGCGATTTCAACAGTTCTAAGGCGCTATTTTCTCACCTGTTACGAAGTTCAGCTTTCTTCTTTAAATACAGGAAGGTTCCTTGGACGTTCTCGGAAGAACTTTCATCTGATGAGATATCTGCTATAAAATATTACAGTGCTATGTGACTCGCCCCAAAATAAAAAGGAGTGCATTCTCTAAGCAAACCAAATCGAATCTTGGATTACCTTAACATATTAAATTGAAAATTATCCCATTCTATCTAGAACTAGTTTTAACTGCGTGACTTTTATCAGTTTGTGAGTTACATGGGGAAAGGCATTTATCTCTCACCTAAATCGAAAGCTCTCTCCAATCCACCGGGCTCTTTTGGTACTCGGACTCCTACTGAGCCTTTCTTGGCCGTTGAATGCACAGCTGCCCGGGGAGAAAATTCACCTGGGGAAAGGTCCTCGCTGTCTGAACGATCTGTGAACAAAATGCCAACATTTTAAAGAGAGAGATTAAATTTTGTCAAGAGTTGAGCTGCAAAGAACATTCCAACATAATGAATTAAGACAAAGGAGAAGTGAGATTTGACAGAGAGCTCAGACTATCGCCACCGAGTACTTGGATACACAGGCTTCCCCAAAATAAACAGCTAAGTGCCATTTACCAGTAATGCACCTGGTGTCAAGCATCAGAGCGCTTTTCTATTGACCGTAGAATCACAACGGAATCCGAATAACGCTATCGGACGCATTTGCCGAAGACGCCCTAACACTGAATGGAGGCCTTTCGAGCCTCGTTTTCATGTATTCCAAACCAGGCGTTTCCGTGCGGCCGCCATTTATGAATTGGGTGTATGCGAATAATGTAAAATATTACAAGGAACCAATGAAAAAATTCAAGTCAACGGACTCTCGCGCAGGGAAACGTGAGTGACTAATTCATAATTGACTTCCGTTTTTTTTTTGTATCTCATTGGTTGGGAAGAAGGCGCGAAATTTTTAAACCAATCAAAAAGGAGTGAAGAAAAACACTTATTTTAGACATTCAACTGAAAAGCGCTCTTATTGACTCTAAATTGGGTTTGAGATCTGAAACCTAGCTTGAAGTTGGCCGTTTTATTGATTTGTTGTTTGTCTAGGATTTTGCCAAAAGGGCAAGAGAGCAAGTAAAAGTCACTAATCGGCCAGCTCCAATAAATATGACAGAACAAATCGGATCAATGATTAATCAGTCAATAATTATAATAACAATAGTACCTTTCACTTCTGAAGGTGGCACAAGACGATTGCCCTGTAAAACAAAAAATGATTATTCTTTGGAACATTACATTGAAGCGTACATTGATTCCATAAAAGTAAGAAAAAACAAAAGAAAAAACAAGAGTCTGTTCTTGATACCAGAACAGTCGAACAACCAGAAAGAAGTCGTCAAAGAAGTAATTTACAACGAGCTCAAAACATAACAAAACCAAGAAGGCCCCTGCAGTAAAAAACAGAGTACCGAAGCCTGCGATCCTCAACGGCAAAACCGCAAAAGGGCGGGAAAACGAGGGGCACGAGGACGTTTTCACCTGAAAGGGAAACCGCTCATCGCAACTAAACTTCAGCAACTTTTCTAGCTTCCCTGATAGTTCACTGAAAGCCCTTTCTAGTCCTGGCTCCGGTTGTTCAAAGGCTGGATAGCACCATGATATCCTCTGGTTAAATCTCTATCCGGGTGGATAGCGCAGTAGGTTTTGCTAACACGTATCCGCTGGATACCGATTTATCCACTGAATAGCGTTATCCGACCTCTGAACAACAGTACCCTGGAAGGAAAGCGACACTGCGAGATTTAAGTGTCCTACCCAATAATACAAGGCAATGACTTGATCAGGGCTCAAACCCGAAGCCCAGGGCGCGAACCGCAGTCCACGCGTCTCTCGCCAGCGAACCATGTGACCCTTTTTTCTTTATAATATTCGCAATCTTAAAATTTAAATTACAGCTCAGTTGATACAGTCAAGGAACATACCTGAGTCGCAGAAACACCAGGAGGTTCCAGATCCTCTACATGTAGGGCTTCATCTTCAGAACCCACGTCAGCTCCTTGTTTTTTGGGCCTTTTCCTTACGTCTCTAACTTTCGATGAGGAGGGCACTGGCTTTTCAAGACCACTGTCATTTACCAGGGTGTTTTCGCGTACACCGTTCGTAATGGTTTCTTCTTGAAGTCTATCACGCTGAATCAGAAGGTCTTGTAGCTCTTCATTCTGCTTTCGACAACTTTCTTTGAGTTCTTTCAGATTTTTCGTAAAGTTGCTGGGACGAAGCAATAAAAAAGGTGCATCTAAGGACTATACGAAGTCTGTAATCTTCAATCGCAAATTAACAATGAGGAAACGCAACGCTATTTAAGCGCCACAGTCGAAGTTGGAAGACGCATCAAACAATCCTGTAACAAACCTTACGTCACGCTGAAGCTCTTGCTTAGAAGTGTTTAACTTTTCCAATTCGGTTTCAAGGTTCTTCTTCTGTCTGTAAACACGAAAAGAAAATACACGATATCTCTTTCATATCACCTTGGATTTGCCTCCGACTAAAAATGGTATGGGGAGTTATTAGCCCTTTACAAGCTCACATCAATATGTATAGTCTCCTTACTGCTCGTTATACATTTCTTGTGGTACCTACGAGGAGAATTTGTTTGACAATCGCGAGCGTCTTTAGCCGGTGATCATTTCCGTTATTATTATGACTTTAAATGTTTAATTCACCAGTGACACTATCAGGATAATTGAGATGCTAGTTAAAAATAAAGTTAAGAATAAAACGTTAAAAATAAAGTTAAAAATAAAACGCTCAAACCCGAGTTAATGTCCTGACATTTGAAACACGAACCTGTTTAATTTAATCAAGTCACGTTCACTACTTGAGATAGCTGCCTTCATTTCATCTAACTGAAGCCTTGCGAGTGTTTGTTTGTATAGTATTAAATAACTCGTGATCAGTGGGTAAAAAAGGAACAAAGCGTATGCAACGGTGGGAATGAGTGTGTAAAATAATAAAAGAAACATTCGAAACACGAACCTGTTTAATTTACTCAAGTCACGTTCACCACTTGAGATGGCTGCCTTGATTTCATCTAACTGAAGCCTTGCGAGTGTTTGTTTGTATAGTATTAAATAACTCGTGATCAGTGGGTAAAAAAGGAACAAAGCGTATGCAA